GCGCCTGGATATTTTTACCATCCTGTGGGAGGCTTCTCTCATGTCACCACATAGGAAACTGGAGCTGGCAGATGGGAGCTCATCCCGCTTGCTGGATTCAAACCAACCTTTTGGTCAGCAGTCCTGACAGCACAAGGATTTTTAGCCCAGTGGTTCCTAAACTTATTTGACCTAACCCCTGGAAATCATTTTTTCTAAATCTTCTCTTCTTTCTTTTATGCTTTCACCACTCCCTTACAGTTATTCATCTCTCCCAAATGTACCTGTGGCCATTACCGCCCCCCCCCCCCCAATCGCTGCAGCATCCACCTGGTTTAACCCATTGGGCCACCGGGGGTTCCTTTTATGGATGACAAAAAAACCCCCTAAAATTAATGCCTCAAAACTATAATAAACAAAATCATAACTTCAAAGATGTCGAAGAGAGTTCTCAATATAGACACCATTCTGTCGAATATATTTTCAAATTAAAAAGCTAGTTTATATCAGTATAAACTATGATTGCTTTTTTTCTGAAAAGTTTCCTAATGCTCCTTTAAAAACTTTGAAGTTGAATCTTCAGTCTTAGCCTCCCAGTAGGAAATGTTATTGTCTAATCTATTGCAGGGTATATATTTCAAAGAATTCTGCATGTTTGAGAATGTATGTGTGAGTTCTCCTTGTTCTCTCCTCCCATTTCTGTAACAGTACCACTTGTCCCCTACACCTACTTATAATTAGATTTATTACACAAACAAAAGCAAAAGATTGTTGACTCTAATTTAGCAGGGTTATGCAACAAGACAGTCAAGTACAGGCAGTTGTGCCTCACACAATACTTAAGTACTTCTGAGTGGAAGGTCCTGCCACTCCAAAAGAAAATACCACATAAAAGTAATTTGTTGATTTTCTTATTACATTTTATACCAAAATTCGAGCATTCAGCACTGGATTAGATCTTTCCAAGTAGCCAGGAGGATTTGTACTCTCTTGCTCCCTCTCTTCGCTCCACCCATATCCTGAATAGAACTTTTAATTGGCCTGTATTTTGCAGGACAAAGTTATTAAAATATAATATTGAATACCTCAAAGTTATGAGAAGGCAACCCTAAGGCAATCCTATCATTGCGTTTTCTGTACACTAGTGCAGAACAATGGCTTCAAACTGCAGGAAAGGAGATTCCATCTGAACACAAGGAAGAACTTCCTAACAATGAGAGCTGTTCAGCAGTAGAACTCTCTGCCCCAGAGTGTGGTGGAGGCTCCTTCTTTGGAGGCTTTTAAACAGAGGCTGGATGGCCATCTGTTGGGAGTATTTTGAATGCGATGTTCCTACTTCTTGGCAGGGGGTTGGACTGGATGGCCACGAGGTCTCTTCCAATTCTATGATTCTATGATTCTATTCACCATGAACATAGGAAAGTAATTCTGAAGTTGTAGTCTGTTGTTCTACTATGATAGATGAGCGCGTTGGTGGACCTGGGGTGCTGTGCTTTTAGCTTTGAATACATTTTTAATCCATTTTATGTATTTTAACTGTTAATTTTTTAAAATACTGTTAATATTTACAACTATTTTAATGTCTATATATTTTTAGGTTTTAAATTGCATTGCATTGGCTTGACTGTAAGGCTCTTTGACACTCTTTTGTAGAGAGAAAGGTGGGGGAACAATAATAACAACCTTGTTTCATTCTGACCCTTGTTGTGTTGTCACTAACCTTCTTTGATGCACTGAGGTGTCCTTTATTATTAAGCGTGAGACAATTTGTATTTTTTTTCACCCCCTTCATTTACACTTGTTCCTGATTCCCTTTGAAAGAAGTTTGATCCTTAGCTGAGGGATGGAAGGCTCGCTGTCTTATGTTTTGTCAATCTGATTCTAGCTAGAATTCTTTAGGCCTTCCCATTTTGATCATTTCCTTCTTTCTGAATCCATTCACTCTTCAAACCCAGCAGCGCTGCAACGTCTTTTTCCCTGCTGAATATAACCACTGAACAATTGTACACCTCTTAAGAATTTGGAATTTTTGTACCAACCCTCCACTTGTTGTCATTCAATGTACATGAGGTTGCAAAGAAGTGTAATGAAATCAGAACTGAAACAGTCTCAGATATTACCTCTTCAGTAAGGGAATTTGAATCATGCTGCTGTGATGTGCTTTCTTTCAACCTGAGAAAATAGCAGCCTCTACAAGCAAGGAAGTGAATATTCCAGTTATCATAGAGAGCCAGTGTGACTTAGTGGATTATAGCTCTGGACACCAAAGTTGAAATCACCAATAAAAACCCACTAGATAATTGGGTAAGTCACACACTCTCAACCTCAAAAAACTGTTGCTGTAAATTGGAATAATAACAATAACAATATTTTTATGTTTATTTGTACCCAGAATTTTTCTCAGAACTGAGACCCAAGATGGCTCATAACTTTAAAACCATAAAACCATACAAAAGGGAAATATTAAAACAGAATTAAACATTACAATTAAATTACAATACTATTAAAACAAATGATAAAAATATATTAAAAGCAATTCATCATTCATGCAACATCCCTTGGCTTGCTCTTAAATATATTCTTTCAAAATCCTGCCTGAATAAGAATGTTTTGGCCCACTGAAAGGAAGATAGCAGAGAGGGGATCATTCTGTCCACCCTGGAAAGGGAGTTCCAGAGTCATGGGGCAGTTACCAATAAGGCCCCCTCTCAAGTCCCCATTAACTGTGTTTGCAATGGTTATAGCACTGAGAGAAGGGCATTTCCTGATTGTTGAGATTTTAGCTAGTCCCGCGGATAAAGAGGTTCATACCTGGAGAGCTTTTTCTAAACCAGATCAGCCCAGAATGAGAACAAGAACTCAGGGTTGAAGGCAAAGCTACAGAGGTTTATTACGATTTGGCAAAGAACAAGCAATACTCTTCAAAAGGTATAAGCACAAATTCATAGAAAAATACATGACATCTTATACATTTCTGGCAGCTATTCAGACTTCCTGTGCTCTCCCGTGATTGGCTGAGAAGAGAGACAGGCTAGAATCCATGCTGGGATTGCCCCGGGATTCCCTTATGTTGCAGTCTGCAGGAGGAGATTCCCATGACAGGAGGACCAATCTTTTGCAGGGATGTCCCCTGGGAGGGTGTGACCCTGGAGGAAATGGTAATGTGAATATGCTGATGGGTTTTTTGTTAACTCAAGTGTCCAGTTCTGTGTGAGACAAAAGGGTGCAAGACCCAAAAGACAAAGCTGGTAATTCCAGACAATCAAGGGCTTGGCTGCCCATTCAGAAAGTTAACAAACTCATATTTGGTGCACCCCTTATTTTGTGGGAGTGGCATACTCTCAGCCTCAAGTTGAATGAACAAACATCCTGAGCTCATCCTGAAGACAAAGAGAATCTGTCTGCACACACACAAACACACAAAGGTTTTGATATTTATCTGTCTTGGGGAATAACTGGAGGGACCATGGCCATGTTATTCTTTCCCAAGGGATTATGAAACCTGAGGGCATGGAGAGGTAGCTGCCTTCAAGATACATTTTGATACATATATTTGATACAGTTTATATATTTAGGAATTGACACAATACATAAATGATATAAGTTACACATAAAACTCAAATTGGTACATTTATTGAAGGGTTAGATTTGATAGAATTTTAGGGTACAGCTGCTGCTAGGTCTATCCCGGCGCCTCTAGCAGCTTTGATATTTTGCAACTTTGGAGTCGTGGAAAAGGTTTCAAAAATGAAACAAATACATATCTTTATGTTCTATAAATATTTGTGGAGGGAGTGCAGTGGATTGACAACATGATGATATCAGAGCCTGGGCCAGTTGATACAGGAAGATACAGTCTGCCAAATTGCTTGAACATGAGCCATAAAGAGCTTTAGAGATCATAGCACAGCACTACTCATAGTCACTGTAGCTGTTGCAACAAGGGAGAGGAGTGTTCCCTGTTGAGTGTGTTATAGCAATCTAAATGAGATGTAATAAAGGCACTTATTACTATGGCTAGATCCAGCATCTCAAGGAACAAGCACAGTTGGTGCATAGGTTTTAAACTGTGAAGCCATTCCTGGCCACCATAGAAACCTGGGCCTTCAGATTCAATGTTGAGTTCAGGAGTATATCCAAATTGTGAACCTGTTGTCCCTAGGTTTCTATGGTGGTCAAGAAAGGCTTTGCAATTTAAAGCCTATATACCAGCTGTGTTTGTTCCTTGAATCTATAGCTTTAAATTATGGTGGCCAGACAACAGACTCCCACAAAAGCATGTGAAAGAAAGCTCTTAATGTGCACCGGTGCTCTGTAGTTTGTATAATCACTATCTGGGACTCAGAGTGGTTCCAGGATTTCCTATGTGATCATCTGCATAGTAAAAACTCTTTCTTCAGTACTGGTTGAAAATGCATCATATGCTCAGTGATGATAGGGTATATGGAGCCTATGGCTCCAAAGTAAGAGGTAATGAAAGTACACCAAAACACCTAAGGGTCTGACATTTTGGAAAGGTCAGAAGGTTCCAAGTCTTTGACAAATGCTGTGTACTTGCATGTTTCTGTAGGGATTATGACTGAGACATAATAAATCATCTACTAGGTCTGAGCTTGGAACTATCATTAGCTTTCCCAAGTCCCAGTTTGTTTTCACAAATGTGCCACAAATGGGTGTATCGAAAAGTCATTTGTCCAGGGGCTAGGAAACCTCCTATGAATGGTATATTTTGCCATGCATTTACAGTAGTATAAAGACAATTGTCACCAACAGTACCATTTTACTATTTTTAACATAGTATCTAAAATTTGAAGTTTATGCAGCTATAGGATAAGTGAACAATATCAACTCGTCTAGTAGAAATATATGAAGCAGAAAATCACCTAAGTATGAAGTCCACCATTTACCAAGAAGAGATTTCTCATTTAGGATACAGTACAGCATTTCACAGTTCTTTGTTTTATGTCCTCTTGTAATATGGTATTTGAAGTGATTTAAATTCCCTGAAGAGTACAAAAACTCTACAAGTAGGCAAAACCACTTTTGTAGGCAGAAATCTGGGGAGAGAACACACAGCATTTCTGGTTAGCTCCAGGAGAAAATGTTGTTTTTAGGATTGACCTCAAAATTGTTCACTTCATCCCATCCCTGCCAATGAAAGGAAGGAAGTGCACTTTATTAAAGGATGAGCTGGAACATTTCAAATAAGTTATTGTGATCGGGTGAAGGAGACATAGTTTTAAAAGGGATTTTCAGAGATGTCCCCAACGCCCATATATCATGATTTACTGCTACTTAACATAAAATGTTAGGGACCTATAGGATACATGACAGACTAAGAACATGTTTAGATAAGTAAGAAGAAAAAACAGAAGATCAACCAAGTATCAAACATACCAACTGTCAAGAGGAGGAATTCCCATTTCTCCCTTTGTGATGTCTCCTCTTTGAACTTCACCTTTGAAGTGATCTAGATTATTGAGGAGACCAAGATATTCTACAAGGAGGAAAACCACTTTTGCAGGAAGAAATCTGGAGAGAGAACAATGTAGTATTTTAAATTTAGCTCTAAAAAAACCATTATTCTTAGGGCTGGTCAGGTAGCCCCCATTCCTTCAGACTCAGACTGTAATAGTCCTTTCTACATATGAGAAATGAACTTAAACATTTCAAAAACATCCATTTGGTGAGAGATTTACAACCTCATTACAAGGGGCTTTTTCTGCCGGCATATGCTGGTTGAGCCCTAGATGATCCACAGAACCTGCTGGCTCCCATCTCATGACGCACAATGTGTGGTGATACTGGCAACCCATGTGACATGGTCACTCATTACATTAAAAGAGATTTACATTGATAGGAATAAGAAACACCAGAACAATCAAGCTGTTCCTTTTAAAACATCTCTAGCTTTTTCTTGCTTTGAGCAATTTTCCCTACTGTTTTCTTGTAGTGGCAGGTATTTCCCTCTGACAGGGACAGTTCATGCCATATTACATCTGACAAGCAACCCCAGGTGCATTGTAAGATGAGGTAGTTATTGATGAAAAAGGATCAAGGCCATTGTGGGAAAGAATCGGCTCCAACAGTTCAACTTTGAAAAAAAAAAAAAAAGACAAGCCTCTGAGTCTATTGCCATCTTCCAATACCATAAAATAGAATATTAATCTCATATTGTTCCAATTTCATAGATGAAAATCAGATCAGATTTGGCAAAATGATATTAGACTATGGTGAGAATAATAAAAGTTAAAAATGAGGATTAACAAACAAGCTAGGTGTGGTGATAACTGCTATTAGGAAAATGGGAAAAAATGTCCATTTGCTTCTCTTTCCCCTACTGAATTAACTAAAACTGGGACATTTCAACAGTATGGTGAAAAAATATGATGAAAGAGTATTTATTTGAATTTTCCATTTTAAATAGAAGCAGTTTGATTTCTCAACTTCGAAAGTCATAAAAAGTGTCCCACACTACTCCATTTGGGTCATTTCGTTTTGCACGAGTTTCAAAGTTAATCTGAAAATATTTTGAGCATCCCTAATTATTTTAATGCCAGTTACCATCCATTCAAGGCAGAAGCAAGCAACTCCTGCAAGTTTTGTGGGCAACTCCCTAACTATAGGCAAACTTCGTGTCCTGTTTTTCCAAACTTGTATTTAAAAAATACTGAGAGAGTGTCATTCTCTAATGGCTTGGGTTGACCTTTTCCTGAAGTGTACTTTAAAGATGTGTATTTTTGGGTTCTAAAGAAAACTTTTCACAGATTGAGAGGATTCTGTTTAAAAAAATATATTGATTGGACAATGAGGCATAGCATATTTGTCTTTTATGGTCCAAATGTGGACCTAGAGAGCACTCATTTATTTTAAAACTTAAGATTTCATATATCTTATAACTTTTCAGTTGGTTATATAATTGCTTTATAATGACATCCTTAGTATTTTGAAACCATTAAAAACTATTCAAAACACATAGAACACCACACAACATCCCCTGACTTGGTTTTTAAATGATTTTCTTTAAATGCCTTTAATAAAAAGGCATGCTGCTGGAAGGACACCAGGAAGGGGGTCATTTTGCTCTTCTTGTGTCCCAACCAAGCATGCTTCCGTGGATGGTGGTGGAATCAAGAGAAGGGCCACTCCTGAGGACCTCAGGGCCTGGGCAGGTTTACACAAGAAGATACAATCTGCCAAGTAGTCCAGACTGAGCCATATAAGACTTTATAGGTCATAAACAGCCCTTTTAAATGTGCCCAAAAACAAACTGGCAGCCAGAGGAGCTGTTGTCACAAGGGGATTGCGTGCTCCCTGTAGCCAGTCCCAATTAACAACCTGACTGCAGCTCTTCGAGCCACCTGGGGTTTCTATACACTCTTTATAGACAACCCCACACAGAGTGGGTTACGGATGGTACTTCACTTCAAAACAATGAATGACATCTCCCAGCAGTTCCATGTAGATGTTAAATAGCATGAAGGACACAACAGAGCCCCAAGGGACCCCACAGCCAAACAGCCAGACATTTGAACAGAAGTCCCGCAGCACTACCTTCTGGGTGTGCTCGTCCAGGAAGGACAATGCTACTGTACACCAGTTCTTCCAAGTTGCGTCTCAGTATGTGGCTCAGAAGGATAACATGGTCGATGATATTGAAAGCTCCCGAGAGGTCCAGGAGAACATGGACACTCTGTTTCATTCAGTTCTCTGTGTAGATAATCCACGAAAGCAACCAAAGCTGCTTCTATCCCAACCAAAGCTGCCTAGGCCTGAAACCAGATTAAAATGGATCTAGATAATCTATTTCACCCAGAAATCCCTGGAGTTAGGAGACCACCATGTACTCCAGTACCTAGCCTAGAATTGGAAGATTGGAGACTGGTCTATAGTTACCAAGGGCATTAGAGTTTACTTAAGGTTCAGTAGTTCAATTGACATTGTGGATAGCTCAATCCAGTTTAGGTTTATTTGATTTTTTTAACTAAAAATTCAAAATTTAGATGTGAGTATATAGGGTACATATAAGTGCTACAACAAATTGTAACTTGTCTCGTTTTATATTTTATGATATTTATTTATTGTTCCCTTTTCTTTCTTTATTTTTATTAACCTCTTAAGACTGTTAAATAGTACTAAGCTGAAATGTGTTGGGCTAACTGGAAATGTAAAAGAATATTTATCAATGCCCTGAGACTATCTTTCTTCTCTGCATCCTTTTTAGTGGGTGTTACTAATCCTTGCTGCTTTTTGCTTTCTAGGAGCATATCTACAAGGCTTGGCCAAGGCTAAAGAAAAGCCTTTTCCATATAAAGGAGTGCTCTCAAAATGCTATAGGGTGGTTTTTGATAATTAAAGAAAAAAATAGGTATCAAATGGAACACAATTGTCACTCCTCCCTTTAAACCACCTCACCATATGGGGCTAGATTTGGCGGCAAATGCCCATTTATTTCTGGTTGCCCATGGAGCCAGTTGGCTCCCATTAGACAACATTGTGCCAGTTCAGTGGGTGAAGAGGGGTGGAATTGGCATGCTGCTGCCACCCTCGCAATACAGGAGGCTTCCTGTGTTGCCATTACTTTCTATAGAGGGAAGCCATGTGCTCCAAGCATGCATTGCGCTTCCCTTGATGGGATGAGCTGCGCGGCTTCCCCATGTCTGGCGGTGAGAGGGAACAATGAGGAATGTTTGTGACTGCTGTGCAAAGACGTCCAAAGCTTCAATTTTACCAATGAAGCTTGTGTTTTTAAAATTCCAATGAAAGGAAAAGGATGATTAAAATGGAATCTGTACAGATAAGGTAAAGCACATACTGTGACAGTCAATATATTTTTCACCAATGGTGTATGGAAGACCCTATGCAAAAATGTGATTTGAGAATCATCACAGAATGGCTCCTGGACTATGACTTTGGATTTGCGTGGTTTTTGTGGTTTTAATTAATTGGTTTTTAATGCATAGATTCTTTTACTTTCATGGTTTAATGAATATGCTTATTGTTTTTACTTGTTTGTTTATACGGCATTCAACTGTTGCCAATTTATAAGCCACTCTGAGTCCCCTTCGGGGTGAGAAGGGAGGGGTATAAATATATGTAATAAATTAAAATAATGAATTTACAACTCATTTCTTATGTACATTTTATTGAAAGTGGACTTTTTAAAAACATGGAAGAATCTTTTCCCTTTTATTTTGAATCTACCGTCAAGCCTCTGTACTTGAAGGTGTACTCAGGATGGCTATCATTATTGATATTTCTATCTCCTCCAGTACAGAAGTCTGAAGTAAATTGTAATTTTGAAGAAAACCAAATGACAATAAAAGCGTATGAGCTCAAAGATTAATTTAGTAAATATCAAAAGCTACAATTACATTTCAGGTCTATACATGACAATAATCTCCGATGTTTGGTTGTGTTATTTAGGAATATTTGAACACAAAATGCCTGAGCAGGGATTCAAACATTGCTCTCTTCATAGTCTGTCAAACTAGGAATCCACACTGCCTTTCTGCACCACACTGTATGTTTGAACACAAAGATAAATGCTTACATTTTAAGAAGAATGGTCCGGGCATATGCTGGCACAACAACATAAAGTTTCTCTTTCAGAATACCATCCACAATCTTCTTCGCAACATAGCCTACATCCAAAATAGGAAATAGAAGTGGCCGGCTGTAGGAAAATATTTAAAAAGTTGACAATAAGCTTGAAAAACAATGCATTTATAAAAACCCACATAATTCTGTTAAGGAGCTCTTAGTTCACAGAATAACAGAGCTGAAAGGGCTGCAAAAGCACTGCCATGGAGGAATGTATAACGAAAGCTTTTCTGAACGATGCACATCCAGTGAAGTCTATTCCACTGTCAAGCAGTTCTTACAATAAAGAAGTTTTTCCTATCGTCCGAGTGGAATCTCCTTTCTAGGAAAACATGACTCTAGAGTGTAATTTTGACATTTGTTGCATCAGCAGGAACTTCACCTTGCATTAGGTGGAATCAGGGAATTTCATGATGACTGGCAAACTTGGAAGTGGCCCGTACTTTAAGGTTAGTGTGGACATCTACACTGGCTCTAAATTAAACCAGTCCACTAACCACACAGTCCAGTACCACTACCTCCTTTCCTCTGCACTCAGGGCAGGAAAAAGGACAAATCGTGCTCTCTCATTTATGTCACTGCAACATCAGTAATGACACCATCCGGATAAAGTATGGGGAGCAATGCCTCTCTAATTAGGGAGGAGCCTTTAACAACCTCACAAAACTATAAATCCCAGAATTCTGCAGAATTCTGCAGGATTTTAAGTGGATTTTTTCTCTAGTGTGATGAAGTGGTTAAAGCTCTTTGGAGCTCCATCATTGGCTGCCATTGTCAGGTAAGGCTGACCATCCTGTGGGGTTTCCCTGGATTTGGTGTGGTCTGAACTTTTGTTGCTTCTGTTCAGAAGCACAGCATTTGAACAGCTTTGTGGAATCTGGGGCCGGTACAGAGCAGAAATCCCAGATTTTGCTCTCCATGTAAACCACCTCGAGTCGCCAGAAGGCTGAGAGGGGCGGTATACAAAGAGAGTAAATAAATGTATATGAGCTCCCACCCCCTGATTACAGAAGCAGTTCCTGATAAATCACAAATCCCATCATACATGCTCCAGCTCTGTACTTGAACAATGACAACATCTATGAACATACTGCTACTTGAAATTCAGCACTTACGTTGTTTGTACCCCTGTAACTAATTCTGTGTCCACATAATAAGGACAGACAATGGTGGTTTTAATGCCTTTCTTTCCTGCAGCTCTCATTTCAAAAGCAAGAGATTCCAAAAATCCAAATGCTGCACCTTTACTTGCAGTGTAATCTGAAAAATTCAGGGAGCAGAACCAAAAGGATGAAAAAAATGTTATATGTTGAATAAAAATGATTAAAAATAATGTGAAATATATGGAGTCAGAAAACATTTTAACATTGTCTTACTATATCTACCTAATATTTTTGCATGTTACTTTCAGAAAGTAATGTAAGATTATAGAGATAACCTCAAAAACAACTGGATGAAGGAGAACAAACTGTCTAATAACTAATGAGTAGAAGGGAAACCTCTATGCAAAGATTTTGCATACACATCTCTGAGTCTGAAAATAATTGTGGAAACTTCTGGAAAGGACTGGCAGGACATAAAATGACAGAATGATCTTTCAGGTTGTGTTCTGATGGCTTGTTCTAATATTCAGGAATGATGTTTGTTACAAATTTGCTTGTGCAGATGTGAGTACTTCATATTTGAATCTTCCCCTATATCAGTGGTTCCAACCTTTTTTTTTTTTTTTGACCAGGGATCACTCTTCAACATTAGTACCGAAAAGGTTACAAATCAGAAAATTGCATTGGATAGACCACATCAGCTCTAGTTTCTGATACAGAACATATGCCATCTAGTAGTCGCTATCTGCTCACCCACACAAAACCATATTTAATATTCTAGAGCTGATGTGGTAGTAGTAAACCTTTGTGGATAGTCAGCCTCTCCCCTCACAACATCCCAGTTGCCTAAGCACTATAAGAGGGTTTCGCAAGACCACATGCTACATGGTTTTGAGACAATGGTATGGTAATGGTGAGGCTGCCAACCATATTTTCATTCTTGTGGACCACAGGTTAGGAACTGTTGCCCTATATAATTCTCCCCCCTCAACTTGAAAAGGAAAGAGGTCACAGCATGCATACTAACTGTACAAAAATCATAACATGCTATCTGTTTGTTTCTTTATAGATGTTTCTTTCTTTTATAATAAGCAAAATCTCACACATTTTATTTAGATACTGCTGAGATTATTTTCAAGTGTGCTTCAAACCAAGTAAGACTGATATAAATTCTGTTTGGGACATTTATTTATGTATTTATTTCCTATATTTATGCCCCGCCCTTCTCCCCCACATCTGCTCTGTATGATATTTCAATTATAATGTCTCTGGGAGGAAAAAAGTTAACAAGATTTTTGTCACTGCCCTTTTCTGAGGCTGAAAAAGACTAGTCCAAAGTCACCCAGAGGTTTTCATGGCCAATGGAAAGATGACCCAGTTTTATTGAAGTCATAATTCAACAAACAAACAGTTGCATCACAATGGCTCATTAACCTAACTGTATGTTCCCCTCATTCTCTTCTATATCAAGATGCTATGATTTGCACTGATTAAATTCCAGTTATGACAGTTATCCTTGAGTTTATGCTTTGATAGCATGAATAACAAATAGATATATAGCATACTGACCTGTTAGTTTATTGGACCCCACTAATGCTGATACACTAGCAGTAGAAACCAAATGACCTTCATTGCGGGCAATCATAGCTGGAAGAAAGGCTTTGCAAGTCTGTGATACAATTGGTAAATCATTATTAACACTAGGCATATTTCATGTCACTCCCACATTTGTTTCCTCAGAATCCTGAGATAGAACATTACAATTAAAGGACATATATGCTGACATACTTTTTCACGATTTGTATGACAATTTACTCAATGCTATGAAGTAGTAAATTAAAGAAGTAACACATTATTTGCAATTCATTATTTAATCAACTGATGGGAATTGAATATAAGTAGTATCTGAAAGGATACAATTAATAAAGTACTTTTCTCTTCAAATACAATATTTGGATTTTTCTATTTTTGTCAATATGAGTGGAGTGAACTGAATGCCACTGAAAAAGAGAGGTTTTCCTTATCATCACATTGTTATGTGGCATGTCATGCATTGCTTGGCAGCCATGGGGCCACCACCAAGAAGACCCTGTCTCTCATCCCTGCCAACTGCACCCGTGATGAGGGCGAGACCGAGAGCAGGGTCTCCCCAGAAGATCCTAACAGTCAAACTGGGTCATAAAAGGAGATATGTTCGGACAGGTAAACTGGACCGGAATCATTTAGGGATTTATAGGCTAAAGCCAGCACTTTGAATTGTGTTCAGAAGCAAATTGGCAGCCAGTGGAGCAGATGTAACAGGGGCATTGTATGTTCCCAATATGCCACTCCAGTTAGCAATCTGGCTGCCGCCCGTTGGACTACTTGAAGCTTCCAAACAGTCTTTAGAGGCAACCCAATGCAGAGTGCATTGCAAGGACCATCCTTTGTCTTCTTAGAATTTTTCTTTTTCCCTCTTTAGTTTGTGGAAACCCTAGAGGCTTTAATCTTTTTTGCTGTTGTTAAAGATATGTTTGTTGGCCCAGAGGTAGGAGGCTCAGACACCTCACGCTTCTTTGAAGGAGTGGGAGAAACCAGCACTTTGTCCATTGTTTCGTGGACCTGAGGGGCAGAAATGCCTTCCCCCAACACAAGAGACACATATCTTGCAAGGTTTAACCAAAGGAATAGTCATTAGGCATAGTCAAAATAGTCCATCAATGCAAGGGGGGGGGGGGGGGGGGGGAGGAGACAACCTATAGTAAAAATTCAATAAGCCAGAAGACAGAAACATCCAAAGTCAGACCCCAGTTAGGTTCCTGAGATTTCCAAAGCTTCTATGATGTCGGCAGATCACAGAAACTAAGGCTTCAACCCCTCCCACTGATCATATGCCTCCCGGGGAGGGTGGACAGGGCTGAAGTTAGAAGGCTTCTAAAGCTATCCAGAAGATTCTGGAGCACAGTGTGCAAGCACAAGAAGTACCATCACAGCGATTTTCACAGATACCACAAAGAAGAAATATAACTGAATTATAATAAACCTTAATATGTAGGTTTACTTGTGATGGAAAGCAATCAAGAGTCAAGTGATTTTACGTCCCTTCCACACAACTGTGTAAAATCCACACTTAATGAACTCAGATGATTCATTTCAAAGCAGATATTGTTCAGGGACTATGTAACCTGTGTCACTGAGGACAGTGTGTTGTTCTGTGGCTCTTGCTAGCAAAGCTCAAGGCCATGTTAAGCAACCTGGGGTCATGTTAGCCAAAATCACCTCCATGCGAAATGAAGCCACCATGAAGCTGATTCATCCTTGGAATAAAGGGCCAATTAAGATGTTCCCACGATCACAGTGTTTTCTGAGGCTAGTATTGTGTGGTTCCCCCACAATAAACCAGTGGGTTTTTCATGGCAAAGTAAGATTCTCCATGAGATCATACTCAAGAGTTGTATCCAATACTCAAACCACTATTCCACATGTCTACATACAAACCATGCCATTTTGTTAAATAATTCCATGTAGTTTTGAATGAAAAAATAATTACCCAGAAATGAGAAGTAGTGTTCACTTCTAATGTTTCTTCCATATCTGAGTCAAGAAGATCAAGGAAGGTCTTTCCTTTCAGGACACCTGCATTGTTGATTAGGATTTCTACATCACCCACTTCCCTTTTAACCTACAAAAATAAAAATGAAAACTTGTGCAGCCATGTCCAATACTCACCTTGATTTATTAAAACAGCCTATACAAAGGGAAAGTTAGGGCATATTCAGACATGGTGTAAAATTCCCTCCCGGATATTCGCAGGTGGTGTCCAAATGACGCCCCATGAAATTGCAAATGCTTTAGGCAGTTTGTTATTAGGTTTGTTCTGTACCTTCTTGGAAGGCGTGAACCGAACTCACTATGGCCACTGTCTGGACTGCCCCCTCAGAAGTCCTGGATTTCTGAGGGGACAGTCCAGAAAGCAGTCTCACATTTTTCTGGATTAAATCAGTCCAGAAAACCACAAGGGCACAAACCCATTCCTCAAACCCCTTAAAAACCCTTTTAAAAAAAATAAAATGATTTACAGAGCTGGCAATTCCCTGCTGCCGCCCTCTCCTGGTACTTAGGAATGAGGGGGGGGGGGGTGATTGTCCTCCTCCCCTGCCTTCTTCCGGCATGCCATTCCTCAGTGCCCCAGGAGAAAGCCAGTAGCAGGGAAATGCCAGTTCCATAAGTTATTTTCTTTTCAAAGGGGTTTTAAAGGGGTTCTCTCAGTAGGTACCAGGAGGACATGCAGACAATGCCAATGGAAAGTGTGGGCTTTTGGGGTGGTGTGCAGACTACCCAGGTCAACGCAGACTTTTCCACTGTTTGGAGCTGCCCTAAGATTCCTATGGGGCAGCACTAATGGCTCCCGAACCCCTGGAGGTTGCTCACTCCTGTATAAAAACCTAATTGTATTAAACAAAAAGGACTTCATGTGTCAGATCTTAGGCTTACCACAACCAAGTACATTACACACTATGGGCACATCAACACTGACTACTTTTGATTGATATAGAAGTGAAACAGAATAGAGCTGAACTGTGATAATGTGGGGCAAGGTCAACTTAATGTAGCCTTGCCCAAGGTTATCCAAAGTTGGAGGAATTTCAAATCCTGCCCAGAATTTGAGCTTTATGGACAGCAAAAGCAGACGAGGCAGTTTTCATCTGGAAATGGCTGCAAGTGTCCTGACTGCCACTGACTTTCCCCATGTTCGGATGGCCTGTGAAACAGATGGCAGTCTCTGCCCCCTTACCTCCCTTGTTGTATCAGTCCCCAGTCATGACATGGCTCCAATCTTTTCCTTGTCACTCATCCTGACAGCAACCATGGCAACAGGGGGATTACCTCCTCCCCCCGGGCCTGTCTGATATCAAGGTGAGTGATGGAGAAAAAGCAGATGCTGTGTACTTGGGCTGGACACCACTGTGATATTGGGGCTGAAGAAGGAAATGTAAGGTTACCCCCTACTGGCGCCAAACCCTATTTGGCACCACAGGTCAGTGGGGATTTCCTCCAACTTCTACAGCAGTAGGGGAATCCTTGTTCAGACACTTTTTGGCCCAACTTAGTCTCCATCATCCAGCACACCAGATCAACCCCAAAGCAGGGATTAGGGCAGATGTGTACAATGGTGTATTTCATGCAAATTTTATGTTCCTATGAAGAATTATAAAATTGTATATTGTTGTTAAGGCACTGAATTCGTTGCCTATCTGTAAGCTGCCTTGAGTCCCATTCGGGGTCAAGAAAGGAGTGATATAAATATAGTAACTAACTAACTAAATAAATAAACAAACAATTATCAATTTGGATGACACAGACATTACCTTCAGATGCTTTACAATGTACAGATATATTGTAGATGATATTAATATTTTTAAAGATGCTAGTTAACTTAGAAGACTTTGTTTCATTAAATAATGTATTACTTTTTTCTATAAATAGCAGTTTAAGAGGGAGAGAGGGAGAGAGAGGAAAGAGAGAGGGAGAAGATTGTGAGTGTTGGAGGAAACAATGTGAACTAAGGATAAAGGATGAGAGGGTGACAGACAGAAAGACTGATTAAAATTTTAAACTAAACATTTAAGCAAGATAACCTGGAACTGAAATTTTGCCACTGGACAAACAGTCTTTTGTTTACACAGCTATATTTTATTCATTATTGCAAACATTTTGAAGGGTTTTCAGTGGCATTGCCATGTTCATATAGGAAAGAATACTTGTATTTGAATCCTCATAACATTTGTACATTGAGCAAACCATCAATTGGGAAATCAATGAAATCATCCAAAAACTTTAGTTATTATTCCTTCAACCTAATATGTTTTTTATATTAAAAAAATTATCATATTAACTTGCATATCCTTCTGTATGCTTTATATAACATATCTCTCATACTAACGTGTATCCTCCTGTAGGCATCCCTGGCTAAAAGAATAGTCAAATGATTTCTCCACTTAAGTTCTCCAAACACTTGGATGGTTACTTAAAAGGGCAACAGCTATACATGAAATTTTTGAACCATAAATAAAGCTTTACCTGTTCAGCCACTGTGTAGATTTCTTCTCTTTTGCGTAGGTCACACTTGTAGGTATAGACCGCTAGAGCCCCATTGGCTTTGGCAATTTCTGCTGTTTCACTGTTACCTTCTTCGTCAATGTCCCAGAGAACGAGAATGGAACCAAGACGTGCAAAATTTTTGGCAATCTCTTTTCCAATTCCATTTGCAGATCCTGTGACAAGCACGATTTTCCCAGCAACATTTTTTTGAATACAGAAAAACATCAAAATGAATGCCTCCAAACTGTAATAGCAAAATAAAATCAGAAATTCTATGGTGTCCAAGATACTTCTTATGATTAACATGGCTCTGTTGAATCTATTCTCTAATTTAAAAATTAGATAATCTAATTTAAAAATTAGATAATTTACTGTCAACATCAACATAAATTATTTCCCCCCCCCCTGAAATGTTAGCTATTCTCATTTAATAACTTTGATGTTGATCCTTCAGACTCAGCCTCGCAGGAGAAAATGTTACTGTCTATGCTACTGTGGGGATAAATATTTCTAACACTCTTCTTTTTAAGAATGTCCTTGGGAGACCCATTTTCTTCTCCTCCCACTTACAATTAGATTTGATTATACAAATAACATTCAAACAAGAGGTAAAGGATGTAATTTAGCAGGACTCTGCACATGACCAGCATGGATATGTGACAAGATATTCAAGTTCAACTGGCCCTGTCTTATACTACACTTAAGTGCCTCCAAAATAAAGGTACTGCCACTCCTTAAAAGAAGAAGAAGAAGAAGAAAAGGAAAGACAATGAGGAGGAATAACATCAGAGTCATTTATTGAATTTCATATTACATTTTATGTGAAAGCAGAACATTATATTCTGGATTACATTGCTTTAGGTAGGAACTCAAGTGTTAAATCACACCCTCCCACGCATCCCCAGGAAAAATAGTTCTTCTAAGTCACCTGTATTATTGCAGGAGAAAGTAATTAAAGTAATTAAAATATACACATGTTGAACAGTTGCTAAACTGGCAAAACTACTAGAGAATTCTGAACAATAGTGCTAAGTCACATGTTCCATGTATACAGGATACAACATATAAACTTCAGATTTGCTCAAAAGTATCTACCCGTGTGTATGTATATGCCTTCACTCATTTGCCACGCAGCATTTCACAATTACTGTATTTATACTATTTGTTGACAGACAAATTTACTTTGATTGCCAAATATACTTCAGGTACAAACCTGCATCAGATACATTTAAAAATATAATTTATGTAAGAGCGAGGAAACAGAATTCCTCCCTTTGAAACTGTGTTGGATAGCATTATGGTCAGCATTTGTTCTTTATAGACAATTCTGAAAAGAATACTTATATCTATTGCTTCTAGCAAGCTGACAGTTTTACAAGCAAATGTGAACAATTTATTGTTTTTATCTACTAGAGGTATGTTAAATTCCAGATGTTGTTTCAGATTTTGGAAGGTTCGGCTATTCAGACTAATGATCCTCGAAATTCGAACCAGAAACCAAATTCCATTTTTTCCCAAAAGTAAACAGCCCCTCCCAAAACATTTTGGAAAGATTCTGAAATTTGGAATTTTGCAGGCTGAAGTTCTGTATTAGGAAATGCAACAATTTTCTTTGCCAGGTGGCTGGATGCATTTTGCCACGGCATGTCTTTTTTTTTTTCATTTGTCATCCAACCAGAGTTTTCTGTAAGGCTTTCTGCAAAGGGGAGGAGCCCCAGGCTCAGCCTCTGTGGAGAGTTGCCATTTGGAGAAATAAGACCTGAGAGCTCTTTTCTTCTCTCTGTGTAGTTACTAGCCTAGCCTTTATAATAATCCCGACTTCTGTTCCTATTCCTCTTCTGCCCCAAACTTTCCCCCCCTAAAAATTCCCATTAGTTACTAGTGCAACTCCCTCCCTAAAGCCTTTTACAGCCCCCTTCCCTTTACCAATTCTTCAGCCTATGTCTGTGATGTGTGCTGGTCTGTGCAATCCCCCCCCCCAAATATTTTAAAAATACATAAAAGCCCTGTGTTCATGTTTGTTTGTTTTATTCGGTGCCTTCTTTTGCCTCTCTCTCTCTTTTTCTGCTTTGTGTTTGCTTTTGCACAAATAGTGCACACAAGCATTTAACACGCACACACATCTATCTAAATATAGATATCGATGTATAAATCATTATATATATTAATTGTAGCGTGGCATGGCTGTGATGTGGGTGGTGATGTTGGGTCTAGTTTCTCTGGCCAGGCTTTGAGAGGAGCAAAAGGGAGAGGGAGAGGCACTTCTGCTCCTCCCACACCCAGCAAAATTAAAAGGACCTCTCTTGGTGTTGCTGCTGAAGGAGCCTCTCAATCTGGGCTGACAGTGCTGCCCATTAGGCCTGGGCGGTTTCGTTCGTTAATTTTGTAATTCGTTAAATATTCGTTATTTTTAGCAATTACAAAACGATTACAAAACATATTTTCAAACCCGGAAGTGTTTTTAAATATCGAAACGGCATCCTCCATCTTTTTTACGGGCTTCCGCCCGTTTCGGAAATGACGTTTTAGGGATGGAGGATGCTGGGTGCGCTGGGAGCCAATCCTGCGCTCCCAAGCACCGTGGCTGATTGTGATTGGGCGGGCTGCCCTTTAAAAGCGGCTCCGCGTGGCCGCATTGCTCATTGCTGGGGAAGGCGAGGAGACGGGAGGTTCGGGAGGGAGGCTTGGCTTGCATTCATTCATTGCTTGCATTCATTCATTCCCTGGGCTGGGAGCAGCGGGGAGGCTTTGCCGTTCGCTCCACAACAGGGCAAGCATTTTTAAATATTTCTGAAAAATATCTTTCTTTTATTCTTAAAAAAATTCAAAAAATATTCTAAAAAAAGAAAAAAAACCTTGTGTGCCTGTGTGTGTGTTTGTCCATGTCCTGTGGCTGTGTTCGCTCCACAACAGGGCAAGCATTTTGTTAATTTTCCATTTTTAAATATTTCTGAAAAATATCTTTTTTTTTAAAAATTCAAAAAATATTCTAAAAAAAGAAAAGACCCTTGTGTGCCTGTGTGTGTGAGTTTGTCCCTGTCCTGTGGCTGTGTTTGCTCCACAACAGGGCAAGCATTGTTAATTTTCCATTTTTAAATATTTCTGAAAAATATCTTTCTTTTATTCTTCAAAAAATTCAAAAAATATTCTAAAAAAAGAAAAGACCCTTGTGTGCCTGTGTGTGTGAGTTTGTCCCTGTCCTGTGGCTGTGTTCGCTCCAAAACAGGGCAAGCATTGTTAATTTTCCATTTTTAAATATTTCAAAAAATATTTATAAATAAATATTTCAAAAAATTCAAAAAATATTCTAAAAACGAAATTAACGAAATTAACGAAATTTCGTAAATACTGAACTTTTTCAAAGGAAAATTTTGTAATTATTTTAAATATCGAAACGCAAAACCCCCCCAAATACAAATCGATTTTAGAAACAAATTTTTGCGTTGTTACCCAGGCCTACTGCCCATCATTAGTTCCATTGAGCAGTCAGAGGAGACAGAGCTGAATTTGCCCCTGGAGGAAATAGAGGAGATTGCATAGGAGTTGGTAGGGGGGAAGATTTTGAGATGCAATCCTCCCTGTGTCCTGACAGTGTGGAGGATGAGGGCCTGAAGGTGATAAGATTTCATCTGCCCCCTCCCCCCACCTCATCTGGTCTTGTTCCTGAGTTTTGGACCAGTTCCCGGTGCATCCTGACAATCACTTGCAGGCAGTGTGCCAGCACTGCAGAGGCAAAGTCAGCAGAGGGAAAGACCTCAAGAATCTGTCAATGACTGCATCTTAAGTGGCACTACCCCCTGCAGGTTGGAATGGCTCCTGGATCTGGGACGAGTGGCGACAGAAGCAGCAGCAGCAAGGCTCCTGACAGCCACCAGCTGGCATAAGGAAGAAGAGGCAAGCCACCCTCGAGCAGTGAGGCATGCCCTGGCAAGGACAGAGTGGGTGGCACGTTGCCCACTGTGAGGGAGATGAACCAGCACCTGAGAGAGGTGCTGGCTCTTGACTACCAGCCCTTCTTGATAGTAGAGGAAGAAGGGTTTTGTGACTTGATGGCACTGGTGGCTCCACACTACAAGGCCCCTTGCATACCACCTTTCTCCAGGATGGTGGTGTCATCCCTGTATCACTGCTGCAGGGAACGCATGGAACAATTGTTAGATGGTGCCAGCTGGACATCCATTCACTTCACCACAGACATTTGGTCCAGCTGTGATGGAGGCCATGAATACCTCTCACACCCTGACAGGCGTGTAGTCAAGGGGCTGGGGTGTTAGGTATTCAAACCACCCCTGAAACTTTTCAGGTTGAAAAACAAACCTGGTTTACTTATGAATGTTAATTGGTTAACCAAATCCCCATGATAAGTCTATGAGAAGCAAAAATTAAGAGTCCCTCCATAACTGCAAGCACTTTCTCAACCAAATTTATTCACTGTCATTTCCTACCTTTCCACCAATTTACCTTGCAATAGCAGCAATATCCAATATAGTAGAAGTAACCAAGTTAGCCCACCCACAACTGGCAGGCCAAGTCTAAGCTGCTGGGAGGAATGTGAAGGCCCTCATGAAGGGGACCAGACCTGGTGGGGGCAGTTGACAGGGGCGGAGATGCAGGCTATTTAAGGCTGCTCTGTCCCCTGCTGTGCTTTTTGCTTCAGCTTGAGGTAGGAGGCAAGTTCCTAATGGGGAATTAGGACTTTCCCTCTTTGCTCCCTCCCTTTTTCCAGAGGATAATGGGGTTGCTATTGCTCCAAGGATTCATCCTACAATGTGGGCAGTTTCTGCCCTTGGCATTTATTGGCAGGGTTTTCCCAGCAAAACATAAGGGCTGGAGGTTTGGGTGGCTGCACTAAGCAGAGTTCCCCTTCTCACCCGGCGACATCTAGCCTTCCTGAGTTGCCTCATGGAAGGCATGTTCCGTAGTGCAGGAGATTTCCCCCCACCCCTGCTTTTTGAATAAACTCTTAATAAATTCTTGCCTGGATGAGTCATAGACCACTCCTTCCTTCAAAATTATGCTTAACAAATTGTTGTCTAGAGGGACTCACACTCTCTCAGCCCCAGGAAGGCCCAGGCAATTCCACTCATTAACTGTGTCATCACATACTGAGGTTTACATTTTATTGAATGCCTCATGTTAGGAGTTAATTTTTGGTCTCATGTCAGGTGTAAAGCTCTTGCAATTATATTGGGGGCAGGATCTCTTTTGTTTCATGTTAGGCTTTAAATCTCACCATTATATTGGGAGACCTTCATTTGATTTCAGGGCATATTTCAGGTTTTAAACCTGGAGGACAGCACTTTGTTTTAGGCCACATGTTAGGCTATACGCCTCTGTTATTGTATTTGAAGAACTCCATTGTGTTTCAGACCTCATGTTAGGCTGTACACCTTTGGCAGTATATTTGGAGGCATCCATCTTGTTTTAGGCTTTGCGTTCAGCTTTATATCCTTGGCCAGTATATTAGGAGGCCTTCATTTGGTTCACCATCAGGCTTTTATACTTTGCAAGTACATTTCGAGGTCCCAATGTTGTTCAGACCTCATATTGGGCTTTATGCCTTTGGCCTGTTGTTAACTCAGCCTGGAACTGTTCTGGAAGAGGCCACAAGGTCTTCCCCTGTATCTGTGAGACCCTCCAGGTTCTGCCTGGTTAGGCTCATGACCTAACAAACTACAGGGCATCAGATCTGGTCTGCTCTGGAAGCTGTGCAGTCATACTCTCCTGGCCTCAGAGAAAGGCACAGACACACATGGTCACACTATTGTAAGCAAAAAGTTTCATTATGTGGTTGACTGCCTGGTTTCGGGGGAAGAAATCCTGGCTGTGATCTTCAGGGCTGTATTTTTTTCTAATGCTAGACCTCATGTTGGGCTCTTCATAGAAGAGGCTGTTTGCTTTGTTGTCACAGAGGTACCATTTTCTACAGTGTTTGATAGGACTTGCCAGGTTATGCTTGTTCGGGCTCCTAGTCTAACCCCCAAAATGAGCAGAAGTTAAGAAGTCACATTTTCTCAGCCATACAGTAAGATACGCACACTGTGATTAAATATATATTTTCATTATATTTCTTACTTCGTTACGGCGAATATCCTGGCAGTGTCTTTCAGGACTGTGCTTTTGTCTTATGCCAAGCCTCTTCCATTTCGGAGATTGTAGTCCCAAAAAACTCCAAAAGAAAAACTTAAATTTAAAAGCAATTTATGATTTATTTTCAGGTATATAACAACTATGATAATTTGTGCTTTCTTTAAAATGTTCAATCGAAATATTCTGAAACTTGGTAGGCTTAAAGAGGTAAATGTGGTTAATTGATTATGTGCATAGAAAAATCAGTCAGAGTCTTCGTTTGCTGGTTTAGATGGGAATGATGGTTGGAATTGAGTAGAAAGATGGTTCATATTCTAGTTGGTGAATGAGGTCAGAATTCCATAAGGTTTCTTTTGAAAATTGCTTTTCTGCTTTGTTGAAAATTGATTTTTCTGCTATTCAATAATTAGAAAGAAATAATTCTAAGATGTGAATCAGTCTCATCTAACACTAATTAATGTAACAGATAGGTTTTCTTATTAGTACTCTGGTCTTCCAGTCTTGACAGGGAGAAACTCAGATCTCCACAGCAGGTTTGAGGTGGAATGAGGGACAGGATAGGTTCTTGCAATTGTTTTAACTTGATCAATATTCCAGGTAGTAGTTAACTTTAGCCCAACTACTGACATATCATTCAAAAGGGTGGGGTTATTGAATGTTTATTTGTTTTTTTTACTACAATGTGTTTTCTCACAGAAGATGTTTTGAAAAAGTAACTTTTCAACTTACAGCTACTGTTTCTCAACTTGAATAATCTCTCTCTCTCCACCTCCCTTCCTCCCTCCCCCTCTATACGTATATGTGCACCAGGATTCATTTAGCTCATCCAGAGGTGAGTACACTGTAAGGAGTTCCGTTGCAAAAATCATGACCCACATAAGGCTCCATCGACACAGCCATAAAAATCATGGGGTTTTTTTTTGCTTTGAACTGGATCATAATTCAGTCTACACTATAATCCAGTTCAAAGCAGATAATCAGGATTTTATATGGTAGTGTACAGTAGACATCAATTCCCACTGAAATTTTCTTTAGGCCCCAAATTATTAGCTTTGTAGCACTGAACACTGCGCATTCTTCTGTTTGCTGTGTTCATATTCCATTAATCACATTTCCATTAATCCCTATTTCATTTAGAGGCCTAAACTGTGCTTATGAAAATCCTAAATTGAGTGTTACATTGCTCCAATGGTAGAGATTTTCACTTCTGGGGCAAATTTGTATATGGGGGGGGGGCAACACCCACATTTGCACCTACTACATCCCCATATATCCACTGAGAAACATTCTGTCAGAGGGCCCCAAAGGAAATGATTCCTCCACCCACAGCACCCTGAAGGAATTGGTGAGAAGGCTGTGTGTGCCAAAGGGCAGAAGTGAAATGGGAATGAAACAAATTCCTGGAACATCTATTACTGGATGTTACACACTTGGATCCTGGCCATGATGCTTCTGATTTGGGAATGAAACAAATTCCTGGAACATCTGTTACTGGATGTTACACACTTGGATCCTGGCCATGATGCTTCTGAGTTGGGAAAAAGAAACTATGGATATGAGGTAACATTCCCATGCTCTGAGGAATGCCTCCACCCATCTCATGGTTCTTCTACTTTTGAAGTTGGACCAGGCTTGTATGCATGTCTTTTTAGACGTATCTATTTGCACATTAAAATATGCAAATTTATTAGGATCACACATTACTAGAGAAAATTTCCTGAATTACTTGTTCAAACTCTTTTAAAAAATCTTTCTGTGTTTTCTAAGGTTTAATCACAGAGAGAAACACTTTCAAATGAGCATGCCGTAGATGGAAAACAAGACAAATATCTTTTCTTCTTTTAGGAATGGCTTTCCTCAATACAGTTGAAGTCTCAAATTTAAGAAAATACCTGCAAATAGCATAGCTTCACCCTTCCTTATCAGCTCACAGCTTGGCAACCTGTCACTGTGCATAACTTTGGCTCATCTCTATGTTGCTTTGTGAGGGCATAATAACACAAGTCAGAGAAACAACCTACAATGTATTGGAACACTTTCCCTCCTGGGGATGGCCATGGAGAAGGGAAGTTTCTTAAGAATTGAACCATGCTTCATTGGGGCTGTTATGACACAGTTCATCTTGCTTTTGATGCACTGACATCCTTTCTAGTGATGGATAAAAAGATTTATAAGTGTTTATTTACATCCTTTATTTATAATTGAAAAGGGTGTGCTAAACTTTGTTTGTTATTCATTTGTATCTATTGTGTAAGTTTTGTATATTTGAACACATATTAAGAAACAGTGGGAGGGGTGGGGAAATGATGCAAAAACTTAAGAATCAAAAGACTCACCCAATACTTTTCATTTAAATTCTGCAAACCTTGGAAGCCTCCCAAAGTCAGTTTTATTTTCAGTGCAAACAAGTGAGGCTGCCATTCCTCTTTAAAGGAGCTGAGCAAGCTGGGAAGGAGACTGAGAGATCACAAAGTTCTGGGAAATGTAGTTTGGGAAGGCAAGGACCCCTGTGGCAGAGAATTCAAAATGCCCTGCCCTAAACTACATTTCCCAGAATTTTACTCAGCATCAGAAAGCCCCAATTAGGCTAGGGGAGAGCTATTGTCCCTCTGAAGCAGCAGGCAGAATTTCAATGAATTATAAGTAAGTAAATCTATGATGGTCTGAGAGGAAACCCCTAAATTGAAGTTCTATGGGTTATGCTGTGTTGTGTGTCCTATAGAGACATTCAAGGAGATAGCTCTTGTGGCTTTTTTAAAAAAAACACATTTTTATGTATATAAAAAATTAAATCCCAACAATCAGTAGATGTGCAAATCTTTCTGAAACTTGTGGGGAATGATCCCCTGTTATCTTGTGTCATAGTATAAATAATTCAAGGAGATAGCTCTTCTAGATTTTTTAAAAATATGTTGTTTGTTAAAACTTCAATAATTTCCCCATGTCACGATGCCAGGGCTCTGCCAATATTCAGGCAGAGGTGAATCAAACAAACACCCAGTTTGTATCAAACAGTTTAATTAAAGCAGCACTTCCTTTCTGGCTGTTTTAAAAGTCCAAAATATAAGACATAAAGATAGCAATCAGCTAGGGAAGATTTGTTCAGAGGGCATTTGCCTTATTCTGAGGCTAAGAGGGTGTGACTTGCCCAAGGCCACCCAGTGAGTTTCCTTTACTATGTGCTCATTTGAACTCTGATCATAAGTTACAATATAAAGCTCAAGCCACTGAACTGCATTGGGTCACTAAATCTGAGTCATGTCATCTTAACTCAATTTTATTGTCATTTTAAGTTTAATTTTTATGGATGCCTTCTACTAATTTTTGTGGATGCATTTCAAACACTTTGGATCAGCAGTTTCCTAGGAAGTTCTATTACATCAGAGACTTCTTCATTCTAATTTTGCCTTAATAATTTGAGGGGCATTCGTGTTTCCCCTCAAGAGAAGAATATTTGTTTGAAAATAGTGTTGGAATTTAAAGATTGTGTATTTTTGTAGATAAATTATCAGATAGCGTTATTGATTAAATATATCTAATTGGTATTCTAGGCTCTTTGAATACAATTCTATTCTATACAGCTTGGAACCAAGATCTCTAATGTTTTATATTCTCTATCATGAATGTGCATGGGTTTTAATATCTTCAAAGAGGCATTTTCTTCATTCCACCATCCTCATAGTTACTTTTTGCCTAGAAATATAGTAGAAGGTCTTCTCAGGGCCCTTCCACACAGCCATATAATCCAGAATATCAAGGCAGATAATCCACAATATCTGCTTTGAACTGGATTATCTGAGTCCACTCAGTCATATAATCCAGTTCAATGTAGATTTTATACAGCTGTGTGGAAGGAGCCTCAGAGTGGCTGTTCCCAGGCATTTGGACTTCCTTTCTATAAGAGGTCCATCTGACTTGTTCCATGTTGCCCTATCATCACTAGGGACCCCTTTACATATCACCCTGGGTTGTGTTGTTTTGCTGGCAGTTGCTGGCAAAACGGTAGGAACACAGGATGCCTCATGTTGATCTACACACCTTCCTCCCCCCCCCCATCAAATGGGTACAATGGGACAAGGTGCCCTGTCCCCATCAGATGGGAGAAAGGGCAGCAACGTGTGTTTCCCTTTTCCCCATCACATGGGGAAAAAGGTCAAAAAATGCAGGTAGCTCAAGTGAAGCTACCCAAAACCCACTTACTTTTCTGTAGTTGCTGAGGAAGCAGCTTGCAATGCTTCCTCGGCACTTGGAGAGTAAATGGGGTGGGTCCTTCTGAGCATCATTGATGGCAGCAGGCCCTATTCCCAAAGTGGTTCAAAGAGGTAAATGTGTGATGAAGTGGCTAATGAAGGCATTTCATTTTTAACAGACCTTTGGGAACTGGTATGGGGTAAGAGCTATTAATTATATGTATTTTTTGTTTCTTGGTGAACATGCTTTAATGTTTCTTCTAATCTTTTGATAGCTTAATTGTATTTTAACTCTTATACCTTTTCCACAACTTCAGTGTTTACCTGAAGGAGGATGTCATTTGTCATGATTGAGATGCTGAATAGAGGTCTCCTCCTCCAAATAATATGCTTACTACAAAAATAATTTCACAGTCTTTCATTGGTGGGGAAAACTAACATGGAGTGAATCTAGCACAAACTGATGTACATAGAAGTCATTTGTCCAGGGACTGGGAAACTTCCTCTGAATGATATATTTTGCTATGCATACAGTGGTATGAAGACAAAGGCCACCAACAGCACAATTTTACTAGTTTTAATATAGTATCTAAAATTTGAAGTTTATGTATCTATAGGATAAGTGAAAGACAAAACTAGTAGAAATATATGAAACAGAAGATCACTTAGGTATGAAGTCCACCAGTTACCAAGAAGAAGATGTCTCATTTACAATACAGTACAGAATTTTAGTCCTTTGTTTTCAGTCCTCTTGTAATATGGCCTTTGAAGTGATTTAAATTCCCGAAAAGTATCAAAAACTCTAAAAGGAGGTGTTTTTGTAGGCGGAAATCTGTGGAGAAAACACACAGTATTTCTGGTTAGCTCTGGGAGAAAAAAGTTGTTTTTAAAACCAACCTCAAAATTGTTCACTTCATCCCATCTCAGTCTGAAAGTAAGGACGTGCACTTTTATATTAAAGGATGAGCTGTAACATTTCAGGTTATTTCTTGTGATGAGGGATTTTCGTTTTCAGCAATTGGTATCAGTCGGACAATCAGATTTCCATTTTTTCTTGCTTCAAACTTTCTCCACTCTTTCTTACTTCAGATAGTACTTTTTATTAGCTAGAGCAGTATCACAACCCTGCCTTTATTTTTGAAAATTGCATCAATTCTTTAAGTAAAAAAAACAACAAAAAACCAAAACAATATGTCTTTTCTGTAGCTTTCTTGAGGTGAGGCTGGGGAAGTAGCTGTCCTTTTCCATCAGGATTAATCTTTCACACAACACTGACCTTGTGATGAATGTAAGATGTATGTATTGCCAGTTCTTCAGTTTCCATGTGTGAGTGTGATCGGGGGGCAGAACTTGAAACGGGACTGCTGACGATATAAGAGGGGTGATTCTCTATGCTAAAATGATGGTCACCCATGCTTTCCCCTCTCAAAGTGATGAGGTGTGTTGTTTATGGTTCCTGCTAAAGATTTCAGTAGCTTATTTCAATATTTGTGCCTTATCTCATTTTTTTTCATTGATAAAAATCATAATACGAGAAGTAGTTCCAACAGTTGTAATCTTTCTCATTTAAGAACTTGAAACTATACAGGGACCTTAGAAAGTTGGATGAGTAGGGTTGGTGTCAGCAGCAGTTGCTGCAATTCAGCAGGGCTTGATGTAGTCTCTTGACTACCTCATCAAATTGTGAGGGGAAAGCATGGGTAACTGTCCCTTTAAGTGTAGAAAATTGCCCCTCTGATGTCATCAGCAGTCCAGTTTCTTTTCTACTCACACTCACAGGTAGAAAGTTACAAGCTGGCAATACATTCATCGTACATTCATCACAAGATCAGTATTACTTTTTTCAAAATCAGGAGAAACAACAATATCTGGAAACCAAGAGATTCCTTGCCCTGCCCAAAACCGCTTACATTAAGGGAGACTGACACCAGTTGAAAACCACTTCTTTCTATGGGATCTTATTATTTTGCCCCAAATCCCATAGGATACAAGAGATAGTAATTCAGCTTAAAACCATTTCTGTCCACGGGATCCTATTTTTCTGCAGCAAACACCGTAGGATTCAAAAGACAGTGATCAGGTTAAAACCCTTTCTTTCCATGGGATCCAATTGTTCTGCATCAAACCACATAGAATACAATATACTGCCAATAGTTGGGGAATGAAACAGGACTGGAACAGGACAGGAAACTTTGATAGTTCCCATCCTACCTGTTTTTTAGTTGGAACCATGGAAGTAAAGTGGAATAGGAGGTAGAAGCTATGAACATGATTGCTGGCCCATGCTCAGACTTCCTTCTTTTCAGGACATTTCTGTCTCTTTTCAGTCTTGGAACATGTGATGAGCTGTGTTCCTCTCCCAACTTGAAAAGAGGCTGAAATGTTCTACGAGGGGGAAAATTCTCAATGTGATGTGGTCAATTGCTGGTGTTCCCTCGTTTCTGGACACTTCTGCCCATTTTCAACCAAGGAGGGATATGCATTACAGTTGGAAGTAGTTAATTCATACGACTGCGAAATTTCTCAATGTTATAAAGTGGTTAGATGCCATGGCTGACTTAAGAAAAGAGAGAGGTTTCTCTGATTTAGATGGACAGCAGAACAGCAAAATAAAAACATCTATGATGACTGAAGCCTTGTCTGATTTTCTAGAAAGACTTCAGATGCCAAATGAAGAAAATATAAAGAGTGGATTCACACAGAACAATACGGAGAAATTGAAATATGAGATACACAAAATGAAAACATACTGACTTTGAAAATGTAACTGTTAGGGCCCTTCTAGACAGTCCAGATGGAGGGAGGGGAGAAAAACATATGTTTTCCATGCTTGCAGGGATACACAGGCATGGAAAGGTGCATGTTTCTCAGGAGGATTTGGGCTTAAAGGACACCTTTTAAACACATGTTTTTCAGCCTTTAATCTGATTCCTCCAGATTCCACCTGAATTTTGTCTAAATGTAATTTAGCCATCCCTCCCCCTTTTAACCCGATTTAACCTGGGTTAAAATGCATGTGTAGAAGGGCCTTTAAATGGTTTGCCAGTAAGTTATGGAAGGGCATGGAGAAGAAACTGATGCAAAAGATTTGAGATGGCAAAGCATTGACTCATTATAATGGTAAGATTTTTTAAAAGATTTTTTTAAAAAAACTACATCTTTCTTTATATAAAAATAAATCAGCTTCCTGCGGAAAGGATATATAGACCATCACCATTTAGCAGTAATTAAAGATAGTCAGGAACCAAGGCCCCATTTACACTGATCATTTAATGTAGTTCAAAGCTAATTTCAAACTGTGGCAACCAGACAAGAAAGTTTCACAAGAGTGTGCAAAAGATGCCTTAATGCAACTCTGTGCTCTGTTTTGTGTAACCACCATCTGAGCCTCAGAATGGTCCCAGGATTTCATGGAATCAAAGAGTTGGAAGAGACATCAAGGGCCAGCCACTCCAAATGCCTGCCATGCAGAATCAAAGCAACCCCAGTGATGGCCATCCATCCTCTGTTTAAAACCCCTAGGAGAAGAAGACTCATCATGCTCCAAGGCAGCATATTCCATTGTTGAACAACTCTTACCATCAGAAATTACTAATGTTTAGGTAGAATCTTTTTTCCTGCAATTTGAATCTGTTGCTCCATGTCTTAGTTTCCAGAGGATAGAACAAGCTTGCCCCCTCCTCAATGTGCTGCCCTGGAGACTACGATGCAGAAAAATGGCTTCAAACTGCAGGAAAGGAGATTCCACCTGAACATTAGGAAGGACTTCCTGACTGTAAGAGCTGTTCAGTAGTGGAACTCTCTGCCCTGATGTGTGGTGGAGGCTCCTTCTTTGGAGGCTTTTAAGTAGAGGCTGGATGGCCATCTGTCAAGGGTGCTTTGAATCCCATTTTCCTGCTTCTTGGCAGCGGGGTTGGACTGGATGGCCCACAAGGTCTATTCCAACTCTATGATTCTATGAACATGGGATATCATGGCCCCTCTCAACCTTATTTTCTCCAAGCTAAAAATACCCAGCTCACTAAGTCATTCCTCACAAGGCTTGATTTACAAACCTTTGATCATTTTGATTACTGTCTATGGACACTTGTCAATATCTTTCTTGAATTGCTGTGCTCATCATCTGCACAGTAAAACCATTTTCTTCAATATTGATTTGAAATTGCATTAAATGGTCATTGTAGATGAGGCCCAAAGCTAATAACGCTTATTACAATAGTAGAAATAATGGAAGCTACCAAGAGAATGAAAGTAAGAATGACCAGATGATCTTTTGATCACTTATTGCAAAAGTCTTTGTATCACTTATCATAACAGATAATGACTCTGTCCCAATTATCTGGAACTCTGGAAGGTTCCAGATAATTGGGACAAAACAAATGTAACTTGAATACCCAAATATAACTGTAATGTGTGTTTTCAAATAAGCAAATGTACTTTAAAAATAACAAATAATGCATAAGTGCACATTCACATGGAACAATAAAAAAGATCAACTTTAAAATGGTAGAAGCACACTCTTCCATGTCTATTCCCACTGGTCTATTTTTATCACTTGGCTTATGTTTTGAGCCTATCTAACCATTGGGTTTTTTTTACTACTTCATCTTCTGTGTACCGAGTAAGTAGATGTTTGTATATATAAGATATAAGTCCCTTTGGTTTCTGGAACATAGCTATATTGAACCATGTTTTCACAGTCTGGAAGACCAAGGTTCTATATTGATCTTTAAATTTCTCATGCAGGTGTTTATATGGAAGCCAATTGCATTTAGGTCCCATTTGGTTCAATTCTTCTAGCTATTTCATTTCTGGGTTTTCTAAGATTTCATTTCTGGGGTTTTTTAAAATGCATTTTCATAAAATGCATTTATGTTGGTATCCCTCTCCAGAGTGATTAGCGAAGATATACAACTGCACAAACAAATGTTGGAAATGTGGATAAGAAAAAGGCACTTTTTTTACATGTACTGGACATGCTACAAAGTAAACAACTACTGGAAATAGATTCATGTATACCTCGAAAAGATGCTACATATGAACTTCGAAATGACACCACAAATGTACCTTTTGAACATGCCAGATGAAGAACTAGAAAAGAAATTCGGAAAAAAATTATTTTACATGATAGTGGCAGCTCTAACCGTTTATGCTAGATACTGGAAGACCTCACAGATACCCCCTTTAGAAGAATGGGAAACACATTATAGATTTGCTAATAATTGACAAAATAATTGTACTCTTAAGAGAACAACTAGAGGACATCATTAATGAATGGCACCCAGTGATTCAACACCTTAATAAAAAAATTAAAAACAAACTAAAAATGCACATAGGGGATCCTAGAAAACTGCAAAGGAGGAAGTGGGCATTAACTTAGAACCTATGATGTTTTTATTTGTACTAATATAACACTAACAGCTAGAAAAAATATACTATATGCAACAAACACTTATAAATGTATGTTATTTTAATAAATAAAAATAAAATGGTAAAAGCACAAAGTTGTGGCAAGGAAGCACAAAAGCACAAAATGAAGAGGCAGAGCATCATTTTCTTCATACTGTTCTCATTCCAGCCTCCCTCCCTCTCTTGCTCTCTCTCTCTTCATGAAGCCAAATATACAAGGAATAAAAACTACACACAATCAACTAACTCACTTCCTCAAAGCAGACAAGAGCAACACAGACCACCATCTACCAAAGCAGAGAAGAGCATGAGGTACGAGGCATGGAGGTTGCTCCCTTGAAGCCCTAAAACCCTGTACTCTCATGTTAGCACTCCCTCTGGCACTAGCTCTTAATTCAAAATGCTGCTCATATGTCAAAGTGAAACCTGGGTAGAGTGATAGTTCTTAACTCAAAATACTCTTAAGTTAAGGTTCCACTGTAGTAAAACTTGGAAGATGTTCAAGATTTTCAAAATTGGACAAACTAATATTATTATTTCTAGGTAAGGTTTAGATTATAGAAATGCATGTTTTGCACAAATGTCATTTCTGTTTCAAACAATTCTAATATTGATTAAAGATGTTCCATTTAAGCAGTGGCAAAAAGACCCACATTCTGTGCCTCACACAACATTATGACAGAGAACAATCTATACAGTGCAACAGGGCTGAAGCTGACTTTGCCCCACTGGACACTCATGCTAACTTTCCTTTTTCTGTTGCCATTGCAGGTAGATACAGAGCTCTCAAGAGCTCTTAGACCTTTAACAGTTTGCAGAGGAGGTGGAATAAATTGATAATTAGAAAGTTTACATGAGAGGATTTCTGTTGATTGTATTTTTGTGTTGTAATGTCTTCATATAGTGTGTCAGCAATCCCATTAAACATAGCTGTAGTGTAATCATTTTATATTTTGCTATGGTTTGTAATTTTTCCCAAACATTGGTTTATTTGGTTACTTTGCCTTACTTTCTGAAATGCTAGAAATCTAGGGACTGGTGAATTCAAAATCAGATTTGAAGGACCATTGCCTTCATTCCTACCCATCCTCACTGGCTCCACCACTGAGTGTTGCACGTAGTGTTCCTCCTCCAATTAGAATGTCTATTTAGGCCCAATATCACTGTATCCAGGAACACCATGAAGAATGTATCTGGAGTCTCACCATGGAACTGGATGGAGAAACTTAATCCCAATGTCTATAAGTGTGGGGGCTGGAGTGTTGTTCCTCTAACTGGCATCTTTACTGGGGAATCAATGCTAAGTTCCTCCAGGAATTAGGTAAATCTGGACTCCTCCATCTGTCATTGGCTGGAGAAGTTATTCCAAGGTCTGGTGACTGGCATGAGCATGACATGAATCTGCTCTTGGAAGCCATGGACCATCAAAATGACAGTGTGGTGCTTTCACAAGGAAATGAAGTCAAAGGTAACACTTTGCTTGCTTTAACAGAGCATCTGACATAAAATGCTAGGGACCTATAGGATATATGATAGTCTAAGAACATTCTTAGATAAGTAAGGTAATAACAAACAAACAGAAGATCAGCCAAGCATTAAACATACCAGTTGTCAATAGGAAGCATTCCCATTGAGTCCTTTCTGGCTTGTCCTCTTTGAATTTCACCTTTGAAGTGATCTAGATTATTGAAGAAACCAAAATATTCTGCAATAAGGAAAACCACTTTCGCAGGAAGAAATCTGGGGAGAGAATAATGTATTTTAGATTTAGCTCTAAAAAACCACATCATTATTCTTAGGAGTAGACAGGAAGCCACCACTCCTTCAGTCTCAGGCTGTAAAAGTCCTTTTTGCATATGAGACATTCATTTGGTGAGGGACTTACATTAAAAAAGACTTGCATTCTTAGAAATAAGAAACATTGGAACTATCAAGCTGGTCCTTTTACAACAAACATCTCTCACTCTTTCTTGCGTTGAGCATATTTTCCCTAATGTTTTCTTGCAATGGCAGGTATTTCCCCCTGTTGGGGTCAGCTCATGTCATATTGCATCTGACAAGAAAACCCAGATGCATTGAGGTAGTTATTGATGAAAAAGGATCAAGGCCGTTATGGGAAAGAATCAGCCCCAACAGTTCAACTTTGAAAAAAAAGACAAGCCTCTGAGGGCCCTTCCACACATCCCTATATCCCAGAATATCAAGCCAGAAAATCCCAGATTATCTGAGTGTGGACAGTTCAAAGCAGATAATGTGAGTTTTTTTGCCTTGATATTAGGGCTTTGTGGAAGGGCCCTTCCAATACCATAAAATAAAATATCAATCTCATATTGTCTCAGTTTCATAGATGAAAACCAGGATAGGTATGACAAAATGTTGAAGACAGTTAAAATGAGGGCGAATAAACAAGCTAGGTGTAGCTGTAGCTTTTCTTAATGCTGTTTCTTTTTATCATGTTAGGAAAAAGGAAAAATGTCCATTCTCCTCTTTCCCCTACCAAATTAACTGAAACTGGGACATTTTAACAGTATGTTGAAAAAATATGATAAAAGAGTATTTGTTTGAATTTTTTCTATTTTAATAATAATAATAATAATAATAATAATAATAACAACAACAACAACAACTTTTTGTATCCTGCCTCCATCTTCTCGAAGGGACTTGGGGCGGCTTACATATGGCACAATGTGCCAAAAACAATGCATAAAATAAGCACACAATACAAGATAAAACCAATAGCATATAAAACAATAATTTAAGGTCCAAACAGTGCCCAGTAACTTATGGTGAGAACTGTCATAAAACATGGCCAACTTTAAACAAGAATTAGGGAATAGGATAGTGCAAGTAGTAGTTAATAATTAGGGCATGGAATGAAAGTGCAGTGGTGTATCATTAATTGTGGACTACACATCCTCAAAGGCTTGTCCAAACATTCATGCCTTCCATTCCTTCTGGAAGGAGGACAGTGTGGGGGCCTGCCTAATCTCCTTAGGGAGGGTGTTCCAAAGCTGGGGGCCACTACTGAGAGAGCTCTCTCCCTCATCCCCACCAACCATGCTTGTGATGGTTGTGGGACCACGAGATGGGCTTCCCTGGCAGATCTTAATGCCCACACAGGTACATGGGGGGGGGATGTGGTCTCGAAGATAGACAGGGCCCGAACCATTTAGGGCTTTGTAGGTGATAATTTGCACTTTGAATTGGGACTGGAAACTTATCAGCAACCAGTGGAGCTGTTTTAATAGGGGTGTCATCTGCTCCAGTTAGCAACCTGGCTGCTGACCTTTGCACCAGTTGCAGTTTCTGGGCCATCTTCAAAGGCAGCCCCATGTAGAGTGCATTGCAGTTATCCAACCTGGATGTAACTAAGGCGTGGACCACCATGGCCAAGTTAGGCTTCTTGAGGTATGGTCGCCACTGCTTCTTTTAAATAGAACCAGTTGTATTCCCAAACTTTGAAAGTTCTCAACAAGTGTCCCATTCTACTCTGTTTGGGTCATTTTGTTTTACTCAAGTGCCAAAGTTCGTTTTGAGCATCCCTAATTATTTTACGCGATGGCATAGACTGGTCCATGAAGTCACGAAGAGTCGGAAACGAATGAACAACAACAAATTATTTTAATGCTAGTAACCATATATTCAAGGCAGAAGCAAGCAACTCCTGCAAGTTTTGTGGGCAACTCCCTAGCTATAGGCAAATTTCGCTTCCTGTTTTCCCAACTTGTATCTAAAAAAATACTGAAAAAGTTTCTTCCTAGGCAGGTGACTTTCTTGTGTCACAACCAATAATGCTTGAGATGATGGTGGAACCAAGAAAAGGCCGTATCCGGAGAACCTCAGGGCCCGGGTAGGTTCATACATAAAGGTACAATCTGCCAAGTAGTCCAGACCTGAGACATATGGAGCTTTATTAGATCATAACCAGCACTTTTAAATGTACCCAAAAACAAAGTGGCAGCCAGTGGAGCTGTTGTCTCAAGAGGATTGTATGTTCCCTGTAGCCAGTCCCAGTTAACAACCTGGCTTCAGCTCTTTGAGCCAGCTGAAACTTCCAAACACTCTTCATAGACAGCCCCATGCAGAGTGTATTATAAATGGCACTGCATTTCAAAACACCAGATGAAATCTCCCGGAGGTTTCATGTAGATCTTAAACACCATGGGGGACTCAAAAGACCCCAAAGGGACTCCAAGCCAAATAGCCAGACATTGGAACCACCTTTTGGGTTTGCCTGTCCCGAGTTGGGAAACCATCATACGCTCCAGTACCTTGCCCAGAATTGGAAAATTGGAGACTGGTCTATAATTACACTTTTTCAAAACATTGATGAATCTTTTTTCTTTTGTTTTGGATTATCTGTTCAGGTAAGTATACTTAGGATGGCTCTCATTATTGATATTTCTATCTTGTCCAGTACAGAAGTCTGAAGTAAATTATAATTTTGAAGAAAACCACATGATAATTCAAGCATATGAGCTCAAAGATTAATTTAGTAAATGTCAAAAGCTACAATTACATTTCAGGTCTCTACATGACAATAATCTCAGAAGTTTGGTTGTGTTATTTAGGAAAATTTGAACACAAAATGCCTGAGCAGGGATTCAAACATTGCTCTCTTCATAGTCTGTCAAACTAGGAAGCCACACTGCCTTTCTCCACCATACTGTATGTTTGAACACAAAGATAACAAGTGACAGCAAAGATAAATGCTTACATTTTAAGAAGAATGGTCCGGGCATATGCTGGCACAACAACATAAAGTTTCTCTTTCAGAATACCATCTACAATCTTCTTTCCAACATAGCCTACATCCAAGATAGGAAGTAGAAATGGCCGGCTGTAGGAAGACATTTAAAAAGTTGACTCAATAAGTCTGAACAAAAATGCATGTCTAAAAACCCACACACTTCTACCAAGGATTCTTGTTTCATAGAATCACAGAGGTTCAAGAGGCTGCAAAGCACTGCCCTGCAGGAATTTATAATTAAACCACTTCTGAAAGAGGCATATACAATGAAGTCTATTCCACTATCAAGCAGTTCTTACAATAAAGAAGTTTTTCCTATTGTCTGAGTGGAATCTCTTTTCTAGGAAAAAGTTGAGTCTTTTTAAAAAAGTAATTTTATTGATTTTTAAGGAAAAAGAAAAAAGAAAAATAAAAAAGAGGAGAAAAAAAGGAAGGGAGGGAATAAGGAATAGGAAAATTTAACGGGTAGGAAAGAGGAAGAGGCTAACTATGGATAAGGGGGTAAGGAAGTTTCCCTACTAATGGAAATTGGAGTGAAAGGTCTGGGGGGAAAGGAAAGGTTAAAAAAAGGGGGGGGGAAGAGAAAAAAGGAAAAAGAGAAAAAAAGAATTTATTGAAAAGAAAAAAGAAAAAGAAAAAAAAGGTTGATTCTGACATGTAGCTTTTGACATTTGCTGCATTAGCAGTAACTTCACCACAGATTAGATGAAATCAGGGAATGCTCATGCGTGTTGTTAAACTGGGAAGCAGCCCTGTAATTTAGGGGTAGTGTAGACATCTACACTGGCTATACATCAAACCAGTCCACTGACCACACAATCCAGGATCACCATATCCTTTTCCGTTCACTCAGGGCAAGGAAGGAGACAGATTAGTACTGTGTCACTTATGTTGCCACATTAGTAATGATGACACCATCAGGACAAAGGAGAAAGAGTGGGAGCAATATTTCTCTAAGGACCTTATCACATTAATTTGTGGGGTCCTGGTGGGGGACGTGGACAACCCATCACCCCCTGCCTCACATTGTCAGACTTACCATGGGCCCCATCCCACAGGGGAAGTGTCCACCGTCCAGCTTCCTCCCATTGTTGCAAAAAGCAACACAGGAAGCTTGCCATATTGCTGATGTGGCAATGTTTGGTGCTTGCTCTCCGCTTTTGAAGTGTATGTATGTCATGCAATGAGCTCTATGGCAAAAGGGGAGAGCAAGTGGTGTATGATGGGCAAATTAGCACGTATGATGAGGTCGTTAGAGCTCTTTGGAGCTCCATCACTGGCTGTCATTGTCAGGTTAGACTGATCATCCAGTGGGGTTGCCCTGGGTTTTGGCCTGACTGGGCAGTCTGGACTTTGATTCTACTACCGCTACCTTTGTTTAGGAGCAGAGCATCTGAACAGCTTTGTGTAATCTGGGGCAGTACAGAGCAGAAATGATTGAGACTAATACCAGATTTTGCTGTTCATGTATTTGAGCCCCCACCCCCTGATTACAGAAGAAATTCCTGATAATTCACAGATCCCATGATATATGGCCAAGCTCTGTGCTTAGACAATGACAACATCTATGAATGTGCTACTACCTGAAACTCAGGACTTACGTTGTTATTACCCCTGTAACTAATTCTGTGTCCACATAATAAGGACAGACAATGGTGGTTTTAATGCCTTTCTTTCCTGCAGCTCTCATTTCAAAAGCAAGAGATTCCAAAAATCCAAATGCAGCACCTTTACTTGCAGTGTAATCTGAAAAATTCAGGGAGAAGAACCAAAAGGATGAAAAATACTATATTTTGAATAAAAATGAATCAAAATAATTGTGGAAGCCTCTGAGAAGCACTGTCAGGACAGAGAATGACAGAATTATCTTTCAGGTTGTGTTTTAATGGCTTGTTCAAATATTCAGGGAAAGCGTTCAATACAACTTTTCCTGTGCAGATGTGAGTATCTCATATTTGAATGTTCTCCTACATAATTCTCTCCTCCCCCCCCCCCCCCCCCCAACTTGAAAACTTTGACCTTCTGAAAAGGAAAGACAGCATGACATGCATACTAACTGGACAAAAATCATAAAATGTTATTTTTCTATTTCTAATATTACTGTTTGTTTCTTTATAGATGTTTCCTTCTTTTATAGTAAGGCAAATCACACAGATTTTACTTAGATACAGCTGTGATTATTTTCAAATGTGCTTAAGCCCAAGTAGGACTGATATAAATATGTATTCTGTTTAAGGCATCTGCTGTGTAGGACCAGTTATTTCAATTCCAATGTCTGGGGGAAAAATAACAAGATTTTTAAAGAGGTTTTTATGAGGCTGAAAAGGACTAGTCCAAAGTCACCCAGAGGGTTTCATGGCCAAGTGGTAAGGTGACCGAATTCTACTGAAGTCGTAGTTCAACACACAAATAATTGCATCACACTGGCTCATTAAACTAACTGTATGTCCCCTTAATTCTCTTCTAAATTAAGATGTCATGATTTGCACTGACTAAATTCCACTTATGCCAGTTATCCTTGAGTTAGTGCTTTGATAGCATAGATAAGAAATAGATATATAGCATACTGACCTGTTAGTTTATTGCCCCCTGCTAGTGCTGTTAAACTTACAATAGAAACCAAATGACCTTCGTTGTTGGCAATCATAGCTGGAAGAAAGGCTTTGCAAGTCTGTGATACAATTGGTAAATCATTATTAATATTAGGCATGTTTCATGTAACTCCCACATTTGTTTTCTCAGAATCCTGAGAGAAAACATTACAAGTAAAGGACATATATGCTGACATACTTTTTCAGAATGTTTATGCTAATTTTCTCAATGTTAGGAAGTTGTGCATTAAAAAGGAACACATTAAGAATTGAACATAAGTAGTATCTGAAAGGATACAGTGGATAAAAATAATTATTTTTCTCCTCAAGTACAATAATTGGATTTTGCCATCTTTGTCATTGTGAGTGGAGTGGATTGAATGCCACAGAAAGAGAGATATTTCCATTATCATCACATCATTACTTGGCTTGTCATGCACTGTTTTTTCATGTCACTCTTGTATGCTATTGAGAAAGATTGATGGAACAGCAAGAGAAACTAGGCCCTGGTATATCAAATCCTGACTTCATTAATGTCCCAAATGCTGTGTGTAAGCCTCATACTCATTGTGGTCTCCTAGACTTAATGATTTTGGACCTAGTGCATTCAGTACCTGCATCCTGGTCAAATTAATTAGTTGTTTGTGTTTACTCCCTGAAGCTGGAATGCTTGTGTGTAAGATAGTGGTATATTATGAGCAATATATTAGACACATGCTAATTCCAGGCCTGTAGCCAACCCAGCTATGAATAGAAAGGAGACTGAAAAAGAAGAAATATAACTACATTATGTTGTTGTTCATTCGTTCAGTCGCCTCCGACTCTTCGTGACCTCATGGACCAGCCCACGCCAGAGCTCCCTGTCGGCCGTCACCACCCCCAGCTCCTTCAAGGTCAGTCCAGTCACTTCAAGGATGCCATCCATCCATCTTGCCCTTGGTCGGCCCCTCTTCCTTTACCTTCCACTTTCCCCAGCATAATTGTCTTCTCTAGGCTTTGCTGTCTCCTCATGATGTGGCCAAAGTACTTCAACTTTGTCTCTAGTATCCTTCCCTCCAATGAGCAGTCGGGCTTTATTTCCTGGATGGACTGGTTGGATCTTCTCACAGTCCAAGGCACTCTCAGAACTTTCCTCCACCACAGCTCAAAAGCATCGATCTTCCTTCGCTCAGCCTTCCCTAAGGTCCAGCTCTCACATCCGTAGGTTACTACAGGGAATACCATGGCTTTGACTAGGCGGATCTTTGTTGCCAGTGTGATGTCTCTACTCTTTACTATTTTATCGAGACTGGACATTGCTCTCCTCCCAAAAAGTAAGCGTCTTCTGATTTCCTGGCCACAGTCTGCATCTGCAGTAATCTTTGCGCCTAGAAATACAAAGTCTGTCACGGCCTCCACATTTTCTCCCTCTATTTTCCAGTTGTCAATCATTCTTGTTGCCATAATCTTGGTTTTTTTGACGTTTAGCTGCAACCCGGCTTTTGCGCTTTCTTCTTTCACCTTGATTAGAAGGCTCCTCAGCTCCTCCTCGCTTTCGGCCATCAGAGTGGTGTCATCTGCATATCTGAGGTTGTTAATGTTTCTTCCAGCAATTTTCCCCCCAGCCTTGCATTCATCAAGCCCCGCACATCGCATGATGTGTTCTGCATACAAGTTAAAAAGGTTGGGTGAGAGTATGCAGCCTTGCCATACGCCTTTCCCAATCTTGAACCAGTCTGTTGTTCCGTGGTCAGTTCTGACTGTTGCTACTTGGTCCTTGTACAGATTCCTCAGGAGAGAGACAAGGTGGCTTGGTATGCCCATCCCACCAAGAACTTGCCACAATTTATTATGATCCCCACAGTCAAAGGCTTTAGAATAGTCAATGAAGCAAATAGATGTTTTTCTGAAACTCCCTGCCTTTCTCCATTATCCAGCGGATATTGGCAATCTGGTCTCTCGTTCCTCTGCCTTTTCTAAACCCAGCTTGAACATCTGGCAACTCTCGCTCCATGTATTGCTGGAGTCTTCCTTGCAGGATCTTGAGCATTACTTTACTGGCATGAGAAATAAGGGCCACTGTACGGAAGTTTGAGCAGTCTTTCGCATTTCCCTTTTTTGGTATGGGGATATAAGTTGATTTTTTCCAGTCTGATGGCCATTCTTGTGATTTCCATATTTGCTGGCATATGGCATGCATCACCTTGACAGCATCATCTTTTAAGATTTTAAACAGTTCAGCTGGGATCCCGTCGTCTCCTGCTGCCTTGTTGTTAGCAATGCTTCTTAAGGCCCATTCAACCTCACTCCTCAGGATGTCTGGTTCTAATTCACTCACCACACTGTCAAAACTATCCTCGCTATTATTATCCTTCCTATACAGATCTTCTGTATAGTCTCACCACCTTCTCATGATCTCTTCAGCTTCTGTTAGTTCCCTGCCATCTTTGTTCCTTATCATGCCAATTTTTGCCTGAAATTTACCTCCAATGTTTCTAATTTTCTGGAAGAGGTCTCTTGTCCTTCCTATTCTGTTGTCTTCTTCCACTTCCATGCATTGCTTATTTAAAAATAGTTCCTTATCTCTTCTGGCTAACCTCTGGAATTGCGCATTTAACTGGGCATATCTCCCCTTATCACTGTTTCCTTTTGCTTTCCTCCTTTCTTGGGCTACTTCCAGTGTCTCAGCAGACAACCATTTTGCCTTCTTGGTTTTCTTTTTCTTTGGAACGTACTTTGTTGCCGCCTCCTGAACAATGTCGCGGACTTCTGTCCATAGTTCTTCTGGGACTCTGTTTACTAAATCTAGTCCTTCAAATCTGTTCTTCACTTCCACTGTATATTCGCTAGGAATGTTAGTGAGATCATATCTAACTGGTCTGTGTATTTTCCCTGATCTCTTTAGTTTTTTTCTAAATTGAGCAATAAGAAGTTCGTGATCTGAGCTACAGTCAGCCCCAGGTCTTGTTTTCACCGACTGGATGGATGTCCGCCACCTTTGGCTGCAAAGGATGTAGTCAATCTGATTTCGGTGCTGACCATCTGGTGAAGTCCATGTATAAAGCCGTCTTTTAGGTTGTTGGAAGAGAGTGAATTCCAGTGGAAATTAGTTGTAACAATGTATTCTAGGAGGGTAATTTGTAACACGCTTCTACAGTTCTAAACAAATGAAAAGCTTGATATATAAATTGTACCTTGATTGTTTATGTACTATGTAAGCTGTGCCATTGAGGGCAGTGTGTTGTTCTGTGGCTCTTGCTAGCAAAGTTCATGGCCATGTTAAACAGCCTGGAGCCTTGTTAGCCCAAACCACTTCCATGTGACACAAAGCAACCATGAAGCTGATTGATCCTTGGACTAAAGACCAATGTAGATTTTCCCACCATCACAGTGTTTTCTTAGGCTAGTATTGGGTGGTTTCCCCACAGTAACCCCGTGGGTCATTTACGGCAAAGTGGAGATTCTCCATGAAATCATACTCAAGAGTTGTATCCAATACTCAAATCACTATTCCGCACGTCTACATTCAAATAATGCATTTATTGGTAAAACAATTTCATGTAGTTTTGAATGAAAAAATTACCCAGAAATGAGCAGTAGTGTTCACTTCAAATGTTTCTTCCATATCTGAGTCAGGAAGATCAAGGAAAGTCTTTCCTTTCAGGACACCTGCATTGTTGATTAGGATTTCTACATCACCCACTTCCTTTTTAACCTACAAAAATAAAAATGAAAACTTGTGCGGACATGTCCAATACTCACCCTGATTTATTAAAATAGCCTATACAAAGGGAAAGTAAGACTGCTATGGGGCAGCACTAATGACTCCGGAAACCCTGGAGGTTGCTCAATCCTGTATAAAAACTTAATTGTATTAAACAAAAAGGACTTAGTGTGTCAGTTCTTAGCCTTATCACAATCAAGTCCATTACACACTTTGGGCACATCTACACTGACCACTTTTGATTGGTATAGAAGTGAAACAGTATATAGTTGATCTGTGATAATGTGGGGCAAGGTCATCTTAATACAGCCTTGCCCCATGTTATCCAAAGCTGGGGAAAATTTTCAATCCTGCCTCAGAATTTGAGCTTTTCCCTGACTTATGGGCAATGATGGTAGCTGAGGCATTTTTCACCCAGGTAAGGCATTTTTACAACAGGTAGGGGAATCCTTGTTCACATACCCCCAGCATCCAGCATACTACAAAGCAGGGATTAGTGTAGATGTGTGCCATGATCTACTTCATTCAAATTGTATGTTAATATGAACAATTATCAATTTGGATGACATTACCTTCAGATGCTTAACAATGTACACTAGATGGTGTTAACATTTTTCAAAGATGTTAGTTAACTTATAGACTCTATTTGTTTCATTAAATAATGTTGTATTTCTTTTTTCTATAAAGAGCAGTTTGAGAGAGTTGGGGGCAGTGTTTGAAGGAGGAAACAATGTGAACTAAGGATGAAGAATGAGAGGGGGAGAGACAGTCAGATTAATTTTAAAAATTAAGCTACTCTATTTATTATTATTATTACATTTATTATTTTACTCTTTATTATTATTATTATTACATTTATTATTTATTTTTATTTTGTATGCTTATATACCGCAATATCTCAGCCTACAACGGCGACTCATTGCGGTTAACAGTACTTAAAAACAACAATAATCAAACAATTTAAAAGCATAAAAAACATATACAGTACATAGTATCGGGCCACCAATACCGACCAATGCATCTCTTAGTTAAAATCATAATCCGAATTCATCGTCAATAATTACCAGTCCTTGTCATCAACTTCATCGCACCGGATTACCCGAATGCTTGTTCAAACATCCATGTCTTAAGTTTTTTTCGAAATACCATCAGCGAGGAGGCTGATCTTATCTCTATAGGGAGGGCATTCCAAAGCCGAGGGGCCACCACAGAGAAGGCCCTGTCTCTCGTTCCCGCCAGCCGCACTTCTGAAGCCGGAGGGACAGAGAGCAGGGACTCTCCAGAAGATCTTAGGGTCCTGGTGGGCTGATAGGCTGAGATACGTTCGGATAGATATGTTGGGCCAGAACCGTTTAGGGCTTTAAAGGCCAATGCCAGCACTTTGAATTGGGTCCGGTAGCTAATCGGCAGCCAGTGGAGCTGGTACAGCAGAGGAGTTGTATGCTCCCTGCGCCCTGCTCCTGTTAGTACCATGGCTGCCGCCCGTTGGACTAGTTGGAGCTTCCGGGCCGTCTTCAAAGGCAACCCCACGTAGAGAGCGTTGCAGTAGTCAAGGCGGGATGTAACCAGAGCGTGGACTACCGTGGCCAAGTCAGACTCTCAATGCGGTTTACAGTAAAAATATACAACACTGACAATATATAAAACAGACATACACAGACGACACACATATAGTCATCAACGCCTCAAATAGAATCAGATCCCGTTCTCACAGTCGTTTTACCGTTCCTTGTTCATTATGCCGTCTTCCTGAGTTAGTTGTAATTGCATGATTAACTGAATGCCTGTTCAAAGAGCCACATCTTCACCCTCCTCCGAAACGCCAGTAACGAAGGGGCCTGTCTGATGTCCGCTGGTAGGGCATTCCATAGCCGAGGGGCCACCACCGAGAAGGCCCTGTCTCTCGTCCCCGCCAACCGCACTTGTGATGCTGGCGGGACCGAGAGCAGGGCCTCCCCGGACGATCTTAACGTCCTTGCCAGTTCATAGGTGGAGATGCGTTCGGAGAGGTAAGTGGGGCCGGAACCGTGTAGGGCTTTATAGGCTAAAGCCAGCACCTTGAATTGTGCCCGGTAGCAAATTGGCAGCCAGTGGAGCTGGCTCAACAGAGGAGTGGTGTGCTCCCTGAGTGCCGCTCCCGTTAGCAACCTGGCTGCCGAGCGCTGGACCATCTGAAGCTTCCGGGCAGTCTTCAAGGGCAACCCCACGTAGAGCGCGTTGCAGTAATCTATGCGGGATGTGACAAGAGCGTGGACTACCGTGGCCAAGTCCGACTTCCCAAGATACGGGCGCAGCTGGCGCACGAGCCGAAGCTGTGCAAATGCTCCTCTGGAAACCGCTGAAACTTGGGGTTCCAAGCTTAGCGAAGAATCCAGAGTCACACCCAAGCTGCGAACCTGCGCCTTCAGGGGGAGTGTGACCCCGTCCAGCACAGGCTGTAACCCTATACCCTGTTCGGCCTTCCGACTGACCAGGAGTACCTCTGTCTTGTCTGGATTGAGTTTCAATTTGTTCACCCTCATCCAGTCCGACACAGCGGCCAAGCCCCGGTTCAGGACCTGGACAGCCTCCTTAGTAGTAGGTGGAAAGGAGTGACAGAGTTGGACATCATCTGCGTACAGATAACACCGCACCCCGAAACTCCGGATGATCTCTCCCAACGGCTTCATGTAGATGTTAAACAACATGGGGGACAGTATTGAACCCTTGCGGGACCCCACAAGTCAATGGTTGTGAGGACGAGCAGGTGTCCCCCAGTAACACCTTCTGGGTACGATCCTCTAGGAAGGACCTGAGCCACTGTAAAACAGTGCCCCCCAGGCCCATTCCCCCGAGGCGCCCCAGAAGGATACCGTGGTCGACGGTATCGAAGGCCGCTGAGAGGTCCAGCAGAACCAACAGAGACACACTCCCCCTGTCAAGCTCACGCCGGAGATCATCCACTAAGGCGACCAAGGCTGTCTCGGTACCATGTCCCGGCCTAAAGCCAGACTGTGCCGGATCCAGATAATCAGTGTCTACCAAGAATGCTTGGAGTTGTGAGGCCACCACACGTTCCAGGACTTTGCCCAAAAAGGGGAGATTGGAAACAGGCCAATAGTTGACGAATTGAGTGGGGTCCAGTGATGGTTTTTTCAACAGCGGTTTTATAACAGCTTGTTTTAAGCTGGCTGGAATTATGCCTTCCCGAAGGGAGGCATTAACCACCACCTTTACCCACTCGGCCAATCCCCCTCTGGCCTCCTTTAGAAGCCAGGATGGGCAGGGGTCTAGGATGCATGTGGTTGCCCTCATCCCTCCTAGCACCTTGTCCACATCCTCAGGTTTCACCAATTGAAACGAATCCAACAAAATCGGACAGACAGGTGTTCTTGTCACATCCTCAGAGACCGCCGTTAACATGGTATCCAGGCCCGAACGGATCAAAGCGACTTTGTCCGCAAAGAACCGAGCAAATGCTTCACAGCGGGCCGTCGAGTTGTCAGGGCTCCCATCCGGAATGGTGGGCTTTAATAGGCCTCTGACAACTCGAAACAGCTCCGCCGGACGGTTCTTTGCGGACGCAATATTGGCCGCAAAGGATTTCTTTGCCGCCTTTATTGCCACGGCATATGCCCTTAGTAGGGCAACAAACCGTGCTCGGTTTGACTCGCTCGGATCCGAACGCCACACACGCTCTAGTCTCCTCTTCTTTCGCTTCATTGCTGCCAGCTCCTCGTTGAACCAAGGAGCTGGTTTAGCTCGGCTACTTGAGAGGGGACGTTCCGGAGCGATCGTGTCTATTGCCCTGGCCATCTCCCCATTCCAGAGAGTCACCAGGGCATCAACAGGATCACCAACCGAGGCAGCAGGAAACTCCCCAAGAGCCATCAGGAATCCATCCGGATCCATAAGCCTCCTGGGGCGGACCAACTTAATGGGTCCCCCACCTCTGCAGAGGTTTGGAGGTGCAGTAAGTCTAAAGCTGACCAGATGGTGGTCGGTCCATGGCAACGGAGAGATGGATAACTCCTCAACCCCGCCACCTTGCTCCCATCCCTGACAGAAAACCAAATCCAATGTGTGTCCAGCACTGTGGGTGGGGCCAGTTACTCATTGGGACAGCCCCATGGTTGCCATGGAAGACATGAAGTCCTGAGCCGCTCCCACTAAGGCAGTCTCGGCGTGTACATTGAAGTCCCCCAGCACAAGAAGCCGTTGGGACTCCAATGACAGGCTCGAGACTACCCCTGCTAGCTCAGGTAGGGAGACTGTAGTGCAGCGAGGTGGGCGGTACACTAGCAGAATCCCTATTCTGTCCCGGTCACCCACCCTCAGGTAGACACATTCAAAATTAGTTGACTGTGGGATGGGGCCTCTGGTCAGCGAGATAGAATTTTTATAGACTACTGCCACCCCTCCTCCCCGCCCTCCAGGTCTCGATTGGTGCTGTACGGAGAAACCTGGTGGGCAAAGCTGGGTTAAATTAACTCCTCCAGCTTCGTCCAACCAGGTCTCCGTAATGCACGCCAGATCTGCCCGTTCTTCCAGGATTAAATCCTGGATAAAGGATGTTTTGCCGTTAACAGATCTGGCGTTCAACAGCACCATCTTCAACCCGGAGGGACCGCCAGCCTGGGTACACCCACTTAACCTGTCAGGAGACCGATTACACGTTATTAAATTTTTTTGGTTTCTTTTTTTTTTCTAAACCGAATTTGGGTTGGTGATTTTCTATTACTTTGGAGCCGAATTGATGGCCGAATTGATGGTCTCCCCTTCCCGCATCTCCCCCTCCCTGTTATGGTTTCTATGGGGGCCCCTCGGCCAATGGAATGCTCCTCATCATCCATATTGCACCTCAAAATTGCAACCTCATCCCATGGAACCCTCTGAATTATTTCCTTCGTTAATTTCTCTTTCTGCCATCCTAATTCCTTCCAGTTGTTTCCTGACCTTGCATTGCTATTTCTGAGGTCTTCCCACCCACTCCACCCTCTTTCCCCTTCCCTATTTGCTAGCAATGTTATTAGCAAATACCACAAAATGAGGGTCGACATGTGTGTTCACGAAAAGCGATGGTAAAGTGCAGATAATAAAGTGCAATTGTTAGCTTCCCAGAGTTAATGATTACTTGGAGGATTAAGGTGCTGTAATGTCATAAGAGGGTTAAAGTGCACAAGTTTTTAAAGTGCACGATTTCTAAAGTGCAAAATGCTCACTAAACTCAATAGATAAGTGCAATTGGATGGAAAATTGGCAGCATAGGGTGAGACGGCTCTAATTCCTATGATGACAATATAGCGGCAGTGCAATCCTCAGTAGTTGTCAAGTCCAAGCAAGATAACCTGGAACTGAAATTTGGCCACTGGGCAAACAGTCTTTTGTTTCCCTTGCTATATTTTATTCATTATTGCAAACATTATGGAGGGTTTTGAATGCTCGTATAGAAAAGAATACTTGAATGAATCATCATAATATTTGTAAATTTGGCAAAGCATCATCAACTGGGTAATCACTGGGCAAATAGTATTTTATTTGCCCAGCTATATTCATTATGGCAAACATTTTGGAGGGTTTTTGAATGGAATTGCAAATTTTATAGTATTCATATATGAAAGAATACCTGTACTTGAATCCTCATGTTATTTTGTACATTAGGTAAATCATCATAAATTGGAAAATCAATGAAATCCTCCAAAAACTTCAGTTATTATGCCTGCAGCCTAATAGTAAAGGGTAAAGGTTTTCCCCTGACATTAAGTGTAGTTGCGTCTGACTCTGGGGATTGGTGCTCATTTCCATTTCTAAACTGAAGAGCCAACATTGTCCAAAGACATCTCTAAGGTCATGTGGCCAGCATGATTCCATGGAGCACCATTACCTTCCTGCTGGAGTGGTACCTATTTATCTACTCACATTTGCATGTTTTCGAACTGATAGGTTGGCAGAAGCTGGGGATAACAGCAGGAGCCCAAGCTGCTCCATGGATTTGAACCCTCGACCTTTCGGTTAGCAAGTTCAGCAGCTCAGCGCTTTAATGCACTGTGCCACCGGGGCTCCTATTTATTTATTTATTTATTTAGACCATTTCTACCCCGCCCTTCTAACCCCCGAGGGGGGACTCAGGGGGGCTAACACAGGCAACAATTCAATGCCAACAGTATCAAAATAACAATATAAAACAGCAATATAAAATCCATTACATAACAATTAAACAGTGATATTAATTAAAATTACATAGTCATATAGAACAAATCACATAATTTGCCTTATATAAAGAATTTTCTTGTATTAACTCATGTATCCTTTTGTAGGCATCCTTGGCTTAAAGAATAGTCAAATCATCTTCCAGTTCAATTCTCCAAACACTTGGATGGTTACTTAAGGGCAACAGCTATACATGCAATTTTTGAACCATAAATAAAGCTTTACCTGTTCTGCCACTGTGTAGATTTCTTCTCTTTTGCGCAGGTCACACTTGTAGGGATAGACGGCTAGAGCCCCATTGGCTTTGGTAAGTTCTGCTGTTTCAATGTTACCTTCTTCATCAATATCCCAGAGAATGAGGATGGAGCCAAGACGTGCCAAATTTATGGAAACCTCTCTTCCAATTCCATTTGCAGATCCTGTGACAAGCACTATTTTCCCAGCAACATTTTTTTGAATACAGAAAAACATCAAAATGAATGCCTCCAAACTGTAATAGCAAAATAAAATCAGAAATTCAATGGTGTCCAAGATACTTCTTATGATTAACATGGCTCTGTTGAATCTGTTCTCTAGTTTAAAAATTAGATAATTTACTGTCAACATCAACATTAATTATTTTTGTCCTGAAATGTTTGCTATTCTCATTTAATAAGTTTGATGTTGATCCTTCGGTCTCAGCCTCTCAGGAGAAAATGTTACTGTCTATGCTACTGTGGGGACAATTTTTTCTAACACTCTTCTTTGTAAGAATGTCCTTGGGAGACCCATTTTCTTCTCCTCCCACATACAATTAGATTTGATTATACAAACAACATTCAAACAAAGGGGTAAAGGCTGTAATTTAGCAGGACTCTGCACATGACAAGCATGGATATGTGACAAGATATTCAAGTTCAGCTGGCCCCTTTCTTATCCTACACTTAAGTGCCTCCAAAATGAAGGTACTGCCACTCCTTAAAAGAAGAAGAAAAACTGTAAGAAGATGAGGAAGAAGAACTTCAGAATAATTTGCTGAATTTCATATTAGATTTTATGAGAACACAGAACATTATATCCTGGATTACATCACTTTAGGTAGGAATTCAGGTGTTAAATCACTCTCTCCCACGCATCCCTAGGAGAAATAGTTCTTTTAAGTCACCTGTATTATTGCAGGAGAAAGTAATTAAAGTAATTAAAAATATACCTATGTTGAACAGTTGCTAAACTGGCAAAACTACTAGAGAATTCTGAACAATAGTGCTAAGTCACATGTTCCATGTATACAGGGTGCAAATATATAAACTGCAGATTTGTTCAAATGTATCTTCCTCCGTGTGTATGTATGCACCTTCACTCATTTGCTGTACAGCGTATCAGAATAAATGCATTCATATTTCATAGTATTTGTTTACAGACCAACAAAATAGCTCTGATTGCCAAATATACTTCAGATACAAGTCTGCATCAGATAAAATTTAAAATATAATCTATGTAAGAGTGAGGAATCAGATTTTATTTTGAATCTGTGTTCAATAATAGCATTATGGCCATTATTTGTTTTTTGTATGCAATTCTGACAATAATATTTATATCTATTGGTTCTAGTGAGTTGATGTTTTTTCAAGCAAATGTGAACAATTTATTGCTTTTATCCACTGCAAATCTGTAAAACACAATCAAATGAGGAAGGGAGCACAACAATTTCTGCTACATACAACCTGTCTAACAGCATTATTGGGGGGGGGGGGGGAGATCTTGATGAAGTTGGATTTTTTTGGCTGTGTGTACAAGTTCACATATTCATATTATTTTTAAACATATATAAAATTAAATAAAAGGCTGACATGTTCATAATAACACTTGGTCCAGACTATCATTCCAACATGCTTTTTTATAGGTGCAGCCATGTTTAAGGGTTACGATTATCATGGTTCTAAATACACCCATAAATATCTGTCGCACTAAGATGGCACCTAGTTAGGACTTCCTGTGTAAATACAATAATAAGACCACTACCCTCTCTTCTCTAAACCTACATACTTCAGACACATCATAAACTACTATTCAGAAACCCAACAATTTTACTATATATCCAATATTTCTAGATCTTGGAAGTGTTACAGCTCCCAGAATTCCCCACTTAGCATGGCTAGTGATCATACTTCCTAGAACAGTGGGTCTCAACCTGTGGATCACCAGGTATTTTGGTTTACAACTCCCAGAAATTGCAGCCAGTTTACCAGCTGTTAGGATTTCTGGGAGATGAAGGCCAATCTGGGGACCCACAGTTGGGAACGATTGCCCAAGAAGATTCTGAGAATAGCCATCTACCAGGCTTCCAGTTCTTACTGGGAGGAGACCAGGTCTCCACAGTGAGTTCTTACATTTCTTTTAACATGATCATCTTTTTGGCAAAAAAAAAAAAAAAAGAAAAAAAAGAAACACAATCCAGATAACTTTAGCCCACTTGGTAACATAACTTTCAAAAGCGTTCTTGCTTGTTTGTTTTACTATAGCTCCTATAATCTGTCATCGCAGCTGGGTATGTTTATCAAAAATAGCTTTTCAAACTGTGGCTGCCATTTGTTTTTTTTTATATAAACACATATAGTTCAGGCTTCAATTGTATACACTCAGGAATACATATACATGAGAAACCGTAAAATTAGGAAAATGCCATCAGGATAAAAATTCTGTCTCTTTCCCTGAATTTTTCAAACTCACTCTTAAAGGTTTTCTCTTTTGGGTTATACTGAATACTATTTTCCAATAATATTTTTTGCATATGCGGGATTTGTGAGCTTGTAGTATATTATATATGCCTATATAATATTTCTTAATATTTCTTAAAGGTAGTTGACTAGTTAGAATAAAAACAAACAGAGAGGTCTGTAGAGTAGTCTTGATAATTAGTATAGTTTAATATATAGTTTAAGTGTTTATGACTCTGTGTTAGTTTGTGGTTTGTCATGTGTAAGTTTTTGTACTAGTTAGAAAGTAGATTAGTTGAGTGTTTTTTAAAATATATAACTTTACAATGTGTTTGTTCACATTATAGTTTAATGTTTTTTTTCTTTTCTATCAAGAAAAACTAATTTAAAAATTGTTCAATCTTTATGATTCTCCCAGATTCTGTTATTTGTGCTGCCTCAGACTAACAATGTAATTTGTCATAAGAAAGAAACTAGAGTTTTAATGTAACCGCAAGATTATCAAAAAACCATAATGAAAGATATGGTGCATATTAGCCATGAGTGGCTCTTGGAGAGTTTCTCTTTGGGAGAATAAGTCTCAATCCTTTCATCTTTTTTCCTGTAGGTGGAAATCCTACAATTGTATTCTTAGATATCTAGGAGATGCATCATTTGGCAGAGAAAAAGAACAAGACAGCAAATATTCAATAAAACTTGTAAGAGAGATATCTAATAATATCCAGTAATAACATAATAATAATAATAATAATAATAATAATAATAATAATAATAATAATAATAATAATAATGTGACAGCAGAATTGATGAGAAGGAACTGGAAAAGCTTATACAATACGAAGAGTATTTAAAGATCGAACTTCAAAGATTGTAGCACAAGCCAGTAAAGGTGGTCTCAGTAGTGATTGGCACACTGGGTGCAGTGCCTAAAGACCTTGGCCTGCACTTTAAAAAAATCGGACCTAACAAAATTACCATCTGTCAGCTACAAAAGGCCACCCTAAATATAGATGAGAGAATGCATGTGTGAGTGAATGAAATATTCTACAGTAACCTTATAATTAATAAAACTTCTATAAATCCAATATTGGTTGTCTTTGTGTTTACTTGCATTCCCTGTGTGTGTTTTTTAAAACTTTGAATATGTTTTAATGGATTTTAACTGTGAATTTTAATACTATTTATATTAATTGTTTTACTTGCATATTTGTATATTCTAGATTATATGCTAATGCTTTTATGCTAAGCTGCTTTGAGTCTCCTTCGTGAGAGATAAAGCAGAGTATAAATAAATATAATAAATATAATAATAATAATAATAATAATAATAATAATAATAATAATAATAACAGGTTTAGGTTTAAAAATATATAACATCCAAAAAACACTATTTCAGAAGGGAAGAAAATATCCTTCCTATCAATTTGGATAAACGTAGGCTACTCATAATTTATTGATAGCTATAGTATTTATTTATGCACCCATCTTTTCTCCTATAAGCCAGTTCAAAGCAAATAATTTGGATTTTATATGGCAGACAAACAAAAGACAGAAAAACAGAAAAAAGTAGATTAACTTATTTCAGTAAAACGTTTATTCAAAACTAACAGTATAATGTATTGCTACATGATACTGGCTCCAGGCATGTAGCCGAGGGGGGGGGGCTTTGCCCCCCCCCCCCGAAATTCTCATGGTGGTCTGAGAAAAGGCCTTACTGGTACATTATTTAAACTGTTATGTTTATTCATATCCTGATCTGATCACCATGCTCAATATATCTCATATGCATGGGGGTATTGGGGTAACGATACAAAAGGTTTGCTAGGGTAGACCCTCTTTCACTCAGACTCAGCCCCCCCCCCCCGGAATAAAACCCAGCCCCCCCCCCCCCCCCCCCGAATCAAAATCTTGGCTACGGGCCTGTGACTGGCTCTGTAATTGGACACAAAATAGCAACTGACATTCTTAAATTTTAAAAGTATTTAGTCACGCATATGATGGCAAGACAATATGAAAGTTTCTTTTTCAGAATACCATCCACAATCTCCTTTACCACATAGCTGGTGGAGATACTGTAGGAAATGTGGTAAATATGACCAGCTAGAGAGGAAAATAATAAGAAGTTTCTTAATAATAAAGCAGAGCTGGCAGGGAACTAATTTACATGGACATATAACTCACAATTGGTTTGCATATTACGGTTTCCACAATGTTTTTCTAGATCTAGTAAGTATCATGGGTAAAAACAGGCTAATCTGGTTTAGTCCCACATTAGGAAAAGTCAGAGGATTGTCCAGAATTTGCTTTAACCTCAGGGTAACCCTGTAGTTTTGGGCCAATATGATAAAGTTAGGGCAAGAAAAGATGGCATGCTCTGTTTTTGTGTGTTTTGTAGCCGAGGGCATCTTTAGATGTTGAGAGATCATCTAAAGCAGAGAGTATAAAATCCTGTCCTCCTCCCAGGAGATCTGCAAAGCCTCAGTTGCAGCAGTATTGTTCTCAGGCAGGTCCAACTGCTCCTCCTCCATAGGTCCTGCTTTGGCTACTGAGAAGCAAACCCTCCTCCTCCTCTTGGCCCATGGTCCTGACACAGGAACACATTCAGTGCTTGATTTGCAGCTGTGTTGAAGAGAGTCTACATGGCACATTTGGCTGAAACCAGTTTGAACTTGCAGGAACATCATCTTACGCGTAGCCACTGCTGATTAGTTGAAAAGCTCCAGGAGAGCTCCCAGCAATTGGATGCTCCCTGTGGTGATATCAGCAAAGGTGCTTGCAAGACCAGGGAAAAGGAGGAAGGGTTGCTTCTTCTTTCTTGTTTGCTGTTGTCTGAGATGATCAAGTGCTCTCCTGGAGGTCTGTGACCATTCAACAGCTGTGACGAGGGTGACATTTTCCAGAATTCTGCAGGAGCAAATGGGGCGATTGAGAGATGGAAGCCTCCATTTTACCCTTGAAGTGTGCAATTTTCAGTATGTGGGGAAAATCTGTGTACACATTTTAAGAATGACAGTTCAGCAGTTCTGACCATGAGGTTGAGCAATGGCAGGTTTAGATTCTGAATTCTGAAACTCCAT